ATGGAGTCCGGCTGTTTTTAGCAGCTTCAATACCGCAGGCTGGCTCACACCAAAGAGACATGCCGCATCGTGGGTACTGACGCGGGACCGCGGGGTTACGGATCCCAAAGGCCCGCATACGAGGTATGCTCTTCGTCGCATACTTTCTACGAATTGCACTTATGTAGGTTCTCACCACTCAGAAGATAAACTCGTACCATCTCGTAAAACTCACGACCGCGGGCGAGTCGCGTGCGCGGGAACGCGAGGGTACGTCACATAGGCGCGTGCGTATGAGTCTCACTGCGCCGCCACTATCGCGCGCGTCGCTCGGTCCCGGCGGGGCGGCGGGGGCTGAGGCGCGGGGCTACCGGGTGCGGCGGGGATGCACGGTGGTATACGCAAGAGAAGACGTTTTCATTGAAGTTTTATTTTAGAATATGTGTCCATATTCTACCGTTTCGATAGGAATAAAAATATTTAAAAAAAAAATTAAACTTATTATGGAAAAGTGTTCTATTACTGATACTGAATCACCAAAAAAAATTTTTGCACTGGAAAAAAAATATTCCTGTATAGGTAATGCTAGCCTGTGCACTGTCAGGAATTTTTCCGTCCGCGATTTTACTTTTCTCTTTTACGGACCGGTTTTTTCAGGTCCGTGATGGCGGCAATGAAAAACCTGTTTACGCTTGTGCACTGCTGTGTCCGCGAAATGGAAAATTCATAAAGAAAAGGCTTGGGAAAAAATAATCGATTTGTGTATTATCAATATTTATTGTAGATTATAAAATGATATATTTTATATGATGATTTAATATAGTTGGTAAATATCACTGCATATGATTTGGCAAACTCGGTATAGTTCTTATTAGATCAGCGTATGGTTCTAATGTCGATACTTAGCTAGATTTTAGAATCGTATTAAAAGTATCGATAACTTAAGGTAAGATACATAAGTGTTGTTACGCTTAGACGCCTAAACAACTGAACCCATCTTAATGGAAATTAATATGGTAAATTGACTTAACTTTAAGAAAGGACATAGGCTATATTTTATCGCGAAAAATAGGGGTTGAAAGTTTGCCTGGAAATTTGTCATTATCAAAATTTTTTTTAAACAATTGATAAGTATAGATAAATATTTGATAACAGAAGTAATAATAAAGAATAAACAGAAGATTAACAGAAGTAATTAAGTGACACTCAATGTATTTTTCGCATTTAATAAAATATGAAATGACTGTTTGTGTCATAAATAAAATTAAAAAAAAGGAAGTATTCTAAGGGGAATATATTTCTACTAAAACAAACTACACCACGCGTATAAAATTATGCCTATATATAATACAGTCAACTGATCTCATAAATTTCATTTAGCATATTAATTCTCAGCTTACACGGCACTAATTTCGATTTGTTTACGAAATGGCGCCACCGATTGGTCTATCTCTGAAATCGCTTAGTTGATTTTACAAAAAAAAATAGCATGTTAGCATGTGTCTATAAATTTAAACATCAAGTACCAGACCATTATCAGTAATTTTATTCTAATGTCACAGATATTTTTAGCTATTGTATGTCAATAATGCTGTCCCTAAATTAGTAAGGGTATATTTTTTTTCCATCAGATAGTAGTCATCCGATAGTAGTAAAAAAAATGCTTTCGTCTTGCCATAATTTATTATGGTTTATGTAAAACGTCAGATCATTATTTAGGTAGGTACCTTTCTACGTCTTCGAACGGAATTACCAACGTTCCAAAAATCTCATCGTACCTAGCGTAAGTGACGTGTGGCTTCAAAGAGAGCTGCCCTCCACTGCGCCGCTCCGATCAGGAAAAAACGGACAAGTGCATAAGCTACTCATACGGGTTTTTCATGTTATTCCGGACAGAAAAAAATCGGACCGCCTGACCTGAAAATTCAGTGTAGTGCACAAGCGCCCTAGGAGTTGTTTATTGAGTTTTGAAAATTAATTTACTATATAATAGTTTTATACATGAAAGAAAACCGGAAGAGTTGTCATGGAGAAATCAAGAAAATACCGTAGCGACATTTAGTTTGATTTCAGGAACTAATGTTTTTTTTTAATACTTCCTTATATTATTTTAAGGAAAGAGTCGAATGTTTTTTTTTTCTCAGGTTCATCTTGTTGACGAATGAATATTTTTCTTATAAAGACCTCAATATCGATATATTATATAATTTTTATCGAAATGAAATGAAAATGTCTTTAAAAAAAATCCCCTACCAGTCGTTCAGGACGTCAGCGGCTCTTTGTCATAAGAAATGACATTTACATAAATCATAAATATTAGCACATCACTAAACAACATTTCAATGGTACTAGAAAATGAAGATACGTACGAATGTATTTACAAATTTATAATTTTAACTATTGATACGATATGAAAACTAAATTCGTGATGCAATATAAAAGGATACAGTTACATATCCTTTACATACAAAAGGGATATACAGTTGTAAAGAACAATGTAATAAACTTGTGGCTGTACGGATTTTTAAAAGCCGTTAAAGAATAAACAAAAAAAAATCTCACACGTCACCGTACCCACGCTATGTTTGCTATTTTGTGGATAGGCACATCGACTTTTCAATATTTTTAATGAAAGGTTGGTAATATTTAATAAATTGGAAATACAAGTCGTCGATAACAATTCATCGTTTATCGATAAGTGACAAAGTACACTGGCCTTGATTATAACGATAGAGCATCAAACCGGATATAAATTTATCGGACGTGATGTGAGCTACAGTCGCTATGTAGGTACAGGTATACTGAATTCACGCAAGTACTCCTACAAAGAAGTACTGTGAAAACGTATCTTTCTCTAAAGATCGGATCATCTGCATCTGAATAAGTGCAAAGATCCAAATTAATTAATGCTTCATTTGGATCATCGATTCTCAGATAGATTCAAGAGCAGAGAGCGAGTACTTAATCGTGTTACGAATATACGAGTATTTAAAAATTACCTTATGCTTTCATTGACTTTTGATATGCAATGTTTGTTTTAAGAATACAATAAATTTATTCACGTACCTAGTCCAGTACAAGGACTGACAATTTGCACTACAAAAACAACTATTTATACAATTTTCGTAATGTTCTATACACATGCTTAATGCAATTTACTGATTTAATGACAAAACAGGTTTTGCATTCTAAACCTTTATCATAATACATATTTGGTTCCAAAACAAAAGTCAAGTAAAAGTAGTAAATATATAGGCTATAGCTGGCCGACAAGAGCGCTCATTTTTTGCCAACACCCGACTAGATGTCGACCAAATCTTTCCGAACAGTCGCTCAGTTTTGCTCAATTCATTATTTTGTTCATTCTTTTCAGTAAGCGCCACTGATATACTGATTGTTCAGAGCAAACTTTGAGATTTGAATCAGTGCAACATGTTGTTCAACCGACTACTACAAACCTTCGGAAGTAACGGGCGTAGCCATATGGCGCCCCCGGGCTTTCGGATGTCCGACGGAAATCTGACACAATGGATGTCTACTCTAGAACCACTTGCAGTCGCGGCTATCGACCGTGGTTTACTGTCATGTGCGTTATGTATTTCCGTGTTTGATTATGATCGTAGTTAAGTACAGGCGAAAAAAGAACCCTTTTTATGACCCGTACTACACCAATTTATGTACCGAAGAACAGACCAATACAAAAAAAGATATATCGCTCCTCGATATTTACATGCGAGACTACTCTGCTACATACTGCTCTTTCTCCTTAAGACCTGGCTATGCCCAATCCTTTCATCGTAGATTCGTTATTACCTGCGGCGACTAAGGGCCGCATTGTAATATAGCCTGTCTTTGAAATTTCGTGCTAATACACTTGTATCCCTGTTCAAACTTTATTCGCACGTGCATAACACCGATAAAAAAGGACAAGGTGGTCCTTATTACAGAGCTGGCCTTAATTGCTTAATGCCTTTTGTCAACATACCAGGCCATTTGTTAAATCCGTAATTGGAGCCGAACCAGCTAGCTGCCGAGTCACCTACGCCGATAGCGAGCACGCCGCTCAGCTGCTCCAATATCGCTCCGCCCCCTTTGCACGCGGCACGCGGCACCAGCGCCAGTGGACACGCCAGGCCCAGGAACAAATACAGTGGAGTCATTGCAAACGATCCACTGTCCTATAGCAAACGCTCGATCATTAATGTCGACCGACCTCTGTGGCGGTAGTGGCTCGCACGCCACCAGTTTTAAGATGTCGCCATCTTCGAGGTGCTGAATTTGATTTCCGGTCAGGTCAATGTAAAAAATTAACCTTTATTGTATCAGATTTCCTTAATCAAGTATTTTAACTAATTAATTTTGGAGGTGGTTAATGAATGTGGTCATTATTGTTGTCAAAAATAAATTTATTTATCGTCAATGTAACTCGTGTACTACAACTTGTGCTCTGACCTTATAAAAAGTGCATGATAACGAGAAATTATTTAATAAGAGTTTTCATGGCTTATAGTTTAATAATAAGTGATGGTGAATATGTAATCCGAATAAGAAAGTAGAGATGGAATTTCGAATGTCCGTTATATTTAAATGAAGACATATTATCAAAATTGCAATGCAGTGATATTGTAATAAGAGTTAGGTACAGTTTTAAGAACTTACCTTTTCATCGCAATATACTAGAAACGCTGACTGAAGAGTAGATGATATGGGATCAATGTTCGCTTTTCTGAGAGCCTGTTAGGAAACGAGTGAACATTAATTTCCTATTCTCATATATACTAAACTTCTTATTTATCCTATAGTTTATGCGTGTCGGCTGCGTTTTTGACGACGACGTGATTGAGATAAAGTGTGATTGATTCATATGGATGTAAACCAATGTTCCAATAAAGATATTTGGGTATTCTTAAATTGACCATATAATAGAAGTTATTATTATTATTATTCGAAAATCATGACAATAAGCTTATCACCTAAGACTGCAATCAATAAATACCTTTAAATTTAACAGTTGTGGATGGAAACTAGCCCATCAATTAAAGCAAAGTAATAAAAACTTAATTACCTAATAAAATCCTCTATCATGCGCTCAACCCTTGAAAATGTATAAACTATATTGTATATTTTATTAATACAAACCTCAACAAATAATAGCAATCCAAAACCAATTCCTGACGCTAAAATCATCAGATGTGGATCCAGCAATATGCCAGACATGAACACCAAAGAGGCCAAGACATGAAATGCTTTCCGTGTTACTGTACTAGCTTTCACAGCCAATTGCGTACGCGCAGTCAATACTACCACAGAGATACCAACCAACACTGCCCACAAAAGGAGTATTAAGGCCTAAAATGAAAAAAAAATTTTCAGCATACTGGTAACTTTACAATATTAAAGTGTGTCTTCTACATAAATATCCCTCAACTCTAAAAAATATACGAAAATTGAATGAGAGAAGTTCTTGATAAGACGCAAATATCAAATTATTTTTTTATATTTATGGCTAGTATTAGCGTAAAGTAAAAAGTAAAAAAAAAAAGATGAACATACAGAAAAACAAATATTTATGAGAGAAAATACTGAGTTAGCTCAACTGTACTGTCTCAATAATGTGCAAATGAAAATAAGATATTAAATGCCTTAGTGATGACCCTGGGCAAATATATGGATAATATCATTATTTTCTTTCCACACAACACAGTGCCACTCTAAATGAACGAAAAGATGCATTGATTAAAATATGATTATTTTCCAGGCCGAGACTCAGATATGACAAATAAAATATCCATATGAAACATTTTAAAATATCACTACTTCAACTTAAAAGCATCAGAATACTTACCCTATTACCTTCCATAAATATATAATGAAATATATTGTAAATACAATTAAGCCCTAAAACGATGTGTAAGATAAGCAGTCCATATACTCCACAGAAACCAACAATGCAGCCCAGTATCTCTAGAGATCTCTGTTCATCTTTTAGCAGACATAGAGCTGTTATAAATATTCCTACAGTGGACAGCCATGCCTAAAAGAAATATGGCCATTAAATTAGTTTTGATAACAAAGAAATATCAACACACTAATAACTACATTCCTCTAATGTTACTATTTACACCTTTTAAAGTAAATTCAAAATTAATATATTTGATCAATTATGCATTCACAATGCTATACTGAAAAATATTCTTGATGAAAAATACAAAAAAACTCTAAGATAGGACACAAATGCATATTACTTTTTCACTACTATAAAGCATATTTTCATAAATGTTCAGGCAAACCATTCAAACAGCCGAATTAACAATTATTCATAATTTTTATAAAGATGATTTTTTTTTCTAATTATTATATTTGACCAATTTTGCTTTCACAAAAGTATGTCTCTTAGTTATTTCTTTCTGCTGTTTATTATGGTTGAAATAGATCATAAAACTTCTTAAAAAAAAATTCTTTACTTTTAGGATCTTAGAGGAAGGCTAGAGTTAATTATTAACTTACATAAACAATAGTATAAATAAAGTCCATCTCTTTATCTGCATCATCAAGATTAGAGGTAACTTTTGCTACTGCTGCAGTAATGAAAATCACTACAGCTTGTAGTATTAACATAGCCTCACCTACTGTGAATGTTTTTTGGAATTGGTTTAGTGAAATACGAAGTAACCAACTGAATGAGAACACTGATGCAAAGGAATAAAATAAACAAAATGGTAGGTCTGAAACAAACATAACATATATTAAATGTAGCTGATAATTATATTCTATTTTATTGTTTATAGATTGAAATAAGATAATTAATAAATTATCTGAAGAACATATGTAGTTTTTTAAATCCTTACCATAATCTAAGATTGTGTACAGCAATAAAACTGGAATAAGCCCTGAAGCGATGCAACTGGCATAAACAGATTGTTGCAGTACCAAACTTGACATTGACAAAAATATTATAAACAATACACAGTAAATAAATAATCCAATAGATATTACAGCCACAAATGTGTATAGAGATGAAACTGCATATTGGACTGAATATACATTCAAAATTATTGGCAACAACACGCAGCACCATATCCCACTGCTGTTCGATTGTCTAAAACATAAAATAACAATTAAAACATATCTCTCAAAAATCTTGTAGTATCAAAAAAAAATCTGTGATTTACCTGGTTTGAATTCCAGCTGTCTCTATATTTCGAGACATTTGGATATCTAAAGAGCTAAAAAACCGAGTACAACTCGCGTCAATATAATCATAAAACTTCTGATCCATCATTTAAAAAACAGATAACTTGTTTTTTTATATAAAGGAAAGTCATAAAACAGTTTGAATCAAGGAGAACTTAATCACTATCCTAATAATATAAAAAATATTTTTTGAAATTAGTTTAAAATTATGATTCTTCGTTTCAAAGCACAGATTAACAATACGTAGCTTTCAAAGTCGGCTCCTAAATCAACTGCACAAATCGGCTGACAGCTGTCAGGTGACATAAAGAGTGGTATGGTGACAGCTCTGTTAGGAACTATGGTTAGTTAGTAGTAACGATGTGCGGAATTGATTACCAGTAATCGATTAATTGATTTTTCAAATAATCAGTACAAAAATTGATTATGATTTCCTACTCGAAAATTAACAGGCGATTATTTCTTAAAACGTTAGCAATAGTAATAGTTTAAAACGTCAGTATAATCAGTGTGTTAATATTATTAGTAAATTTTTTATTATTTGATATGGCAGCCTGGAATCCGAGTAGCATTGACAAATAGGTAACTTTACTCTTTGGTCGGATTTGTGGACTGTTGTGATTCTGCTAAAAGTTATAATTTATTTCTATGTCGTTTTGATTCTGCGTTGTTACGATGTTATATAATTTAATATTGTCAAAATTAGCACTTTATCTTGAAAAATAAGACTACGAATTTGCCCCGGCCCCGGGTTCGATTCCTGCACGGGTTTTTTTTTTTGCGCCCTAAATTTCAAATCATTGTAAATCTTCGTTACAAATCATTTATTTATTTTTTTCAATATATTTTACATATTATATCCGAAATACAATATAATATTAAAAAATAAATGTTAAAAGTGATATTTCTTCCGTGTGTTCGATAATTACTGCCCTCTATTAACGGTATGCGAAATTGAAATGTGATTTTTTTTTACTGAGATGCGATTTCCCACACATTTTGTCTCCCAGAATTAGCAGCGCCAAAGCGGAGCACAGGCGTACTAGTTTCCCCCCTCGAATACCAGCTTTCAGCCAGCTCGGCACAAGGATTTCTAAGTGGCCGTCTAACATCCCTGCACCGCCGCCGCAAGGTTTAGTTGTTAACAACAATTGAATAACATCAATTGTAATCAACTTTTATCGACTAAGCTGAACAATCGACTAATTTGATTTAATAAATAATAGGCCCATCGCTAATTTCAAGTTTACATATGTTTCTGCATATCGAAGGTCGTAAAGCTAATTACGTGCTTTATTTAAAATACTTGTAAAACACTGATAATCATTATCCATAGTGTATCACAGTATTATGCAATTTTAATTATCTCCAATATCCATTACTGCATGTTTAAAATGTTGCGTACTATCAGTAAATTTGTACCGAAACAGGCGGCGAGATATTCAACAGCACCTGTTCCCAACAGCAACCCAGATATTCTCTATACTGGTGTAAGTATCATCAAAATGTCAAAAGATAACCAATAATGCTGTTGTACCATCATTACATAGTTGATAATAAATAAAATAAGACATGAAAATTCATTTTCTTAGGTACAGTCAACGGCACGTCATGTTATACAAAACTGTCAAATTTCTCCACTTGATTTTAAACCTTAATCATGGAAAGTAAATAAGTTCGAAATCGATTGTGAAAATTTGACATTTTGTAGTACTCTCATATGTAGCCGTGTGTACTGTTTTCTAACCATTGGCTTTTGGCTAGTTTGGTGGCTCAGTTTATTTTCTTTGTATCTAATACTTTACACCTCCATTTTTACAGTTATTTATAAACAATGAATGGGTGAAGTCATCAGATGGCAAAACTTTTAAAACAGAAAATCCTGCTACCGGTGAGGTGATTGCAGAAGTCCAACAAGCTGGCAAAGTTGATATAGATAGAGCTGTGCAAGCAGCTAAGGATGCCTTCAAGTAAGAATGTAATGTAGCAGTAGTGAAAAATAAACCATGAAATTTGACAAAATATTAAAATTTACATTGAAACAAAGACATTCTGATTTTGTGTCATAAAATTTCATGGTTATCTTTTTGAATTAAAAGTTAAAAATGCAACTTTTCTTTTCTCATCTGGATATCATGTGACCTGAAACACAACTATGGTGTGACTTCATGTTTGTCAACATATTTGTGTTTTTGTCTACTCAATTATAAGTAGCTTTATTAAAGCCTCAGATCTTTAGATGGCATTAGACATATGGTCTTATGGTCTTATTAATCTTTTAATTTAGATGCCTGCCATTATACTCTATGAATCATATTACCATTATACTATATCAACATACAATTTAATTGTAAAACAAGTAAATGTTTAAAAGCAAAAATTAAAAGAAACATTTAATACTTTTGAGACAAAGTAGAATACCCTATTTTCAGATTTTAATGTATTAGCTTGTTGACTTTCTTAATTTTTGCTTAAACTATAAAACTCTACTTTTTATATGTTGTTTTTGAGACAGCTATTAATTTAATCCGAATATTGCCTTTATAAGATAAATATTCACATACTTTTTGTAAACATTTAACATAACTCAGTTTTATAATTTAAAACTGTAAACACCTATAAATAGACAAAATTGAATGAAAATCTATTGGTACATTATTCAACAGATTTGGATCACCATGGCGAACAATGGATGCTTCGCAACGTGGTGTTCTAATCAACAGACTAGCTGATCTAATTGAGAGAGACAGAAATTATTTATCGGTAAGCAAAATGTATAACTTGTTGAACATAGACTAATATGTTTTGTCAAAAATTTTGGTATGTAAATAAGAAAATTGCAAATTGCTTTTTTTTATTAAGCCGCTAGTAACTGATAATTACATAAAATGAGATCACTATGAAGGCCAAGGTCAAAGAACAGGTTTACTTGCCAGTTGGCATGTGGTAGTTTATAAGTATTGATAAATTATTCATGTTTTTTATTAGTTAGTTAAACACAAGTATCATGCAACAAGCATTTTTAGTTCAAACATTTTAAAATGGAATTTAAAAAGAAATATGTATATATAAATATTGATGACGTCATTGGTTGTGACTCGTGTTTGTTTACTATATATAGTTTGTCAGTTGCTTCATACTATTCTTAGTTTCAATTTATATACAAATAATGGCAGAAGTTTAGAAACCTTCATATAAGTATTGTATGGTACCCAAGTGCAAAAACAACTATGCATAAGTACAGAAAGAATCATGTAAGATAATGCGAAAGGTAAATTTATGTTCATTCTCGTTTTTAATCTGTTGTGATGAAACAATATGAAGTACTTAAATATTGAAAAAAAAATATACTATGTAATATAATAACGATCTTGCAGCTTTCACTTCTTTAATCTGTACTCTGAGATTATGTGCAAAATATGCCGACATCATAAATGTATCTATTTTCAGTATATTATTCTATTGTTCTTTCACAAAACGAGTGTCTGTCATCATAATATTAGGATTACTAATATTGTTCTCAAATACATCACATCACCAGCCCTTTTACGTCCCCACTGCAGGGGCTCAGGCCTTCCTTATGGATGGTTAAAGAGCATCCTCCTTAACCATCCATAAGGCCATGACCCTCCACGCTGGCCCAATGCGGATTGGAGGGTATTAACGACTGCAAATGCAGCCGGGACCAACGGCTTAACGTGCCTTCCGAAGCACGGAGTAGCTCGAGATAATAATTTTTTGGTCATCCATCCCGTGACCGACCCCTGCGAAAGTTGCTTAACGACTACGATCGCGGGCCGCGGCGCTTATCCACTACGCCACCGAGTTACTCAAATAATCTTGTTCTCAAATAATAAAGTTTGTTTCAACTTTTCTCTAAACACTTTATACAGTACAGTATCACAGATGAATATCTATGCCGATAAATCATATAACCATTGACGTCAAATTTTGTTCAACCAATGGTGATATTTTCTGTGTTACACTAATAAATAACATTAAAAGTGTTTAAAAAAATATTTGAGACTGATTTAAATTTTATACATATGTATTTCTTATATAATATAATGAGGGAGGTGTTATATAATTATCCTCCGGCCGGCGACCTGCCGTATGTGACTCTTAATTTCTATTCAAATAAATTCTTTTATCCTTACTATAATACAATTGAGATACCAGTCAAATAGTAGTCGTTTATTTTAATTAAAATCTTAAATATAAATTCAAATAATATTGAAATGGAAATCTTACTTAAAATACTGTAAATTGCAGCTATCGGCTCTTCAGTGTCATACCCCTCTAGAATTATATATAGCATGACATGTATGATATGCACCGCACGTAGCCGTCACGTTCAGGGGGTCATAGGGCAAATCGAGTAATCACATAATATTTTCATTACCTAAATCCGATATTATTTGCACACGGCAGGGAAATTACAATGACTATGGAAAATTGCAATATTAATGTTTTACTTACAAATATAATCGTAAATAAATGTAATTGTGTATTTTTTTGTCTAAGGAGCTCGATGGCGCAGTAGTAGGGTCTGCATGCGGAAGTTAAGTAACTTTCGCCAAGGCCGGCCATTGGATAGGTGACCATAAACTTACTATCGCGAGCTCATACGTGCCTCAGATGGCGCGTTAAGTCGTCGGTATTGGCTGCATCTGCATCATCGATCCGAATTAAAACATACGATTCGATTTCATGACTTAAGGGCCAGTGAAGATGTATGACTACAACATCATACATAATTCAGTGTGGTCATAATTTGTAACACAATAATTTATTGGAAATCATTTCAAGTTTATCGCGATATAAGAGGAATATCAATCATCATACCTGCCTATTATAAGTTTCTCTTTTAATTAATAGAGTTTGGAGGCCTTGGACAACGGCAAACCATATAAAGCTGCGTATTACGGTGATGTGGCTGCAGTAATAAAGAACCTACGCTACTACGCCGGCTGGGCGGACAAGAATCACGGTCAAGTGCTGCCTACTGATGGAAAATACTTGGCTTATACGCGCCACGAGCCAGTCGGTTAGTATAATAAAATGAAAGGATTATTTCTTTTGAAATGACAAACAATTACCTATCTGACAAACAATTACCTATATGTTTACAATATTATCAAAGATTTAAATCCGAGAAAAGCACCTGGAATAGACCAAATAAGGGTATCCGACGTGAAATTGATCGGAAAAGATGTTTCAAAAGCGATAGCTAATTTGATTAACTGCTGTTTTAAAACGGGAACATATCCCAATGAATTAAAAAAAGGTTGCATTAGACCTGTACACAAAAAGGGCAAACATGAAGATTTTTCTAACTATAGACCAATTACACTGCTCTCAACTATAGATAAAATAATAGAAAAACATATTGCTAATCATATCCATGCCTTTTACCGCGAATATAATGTCATCTTTACCAACCAGTTCGGTTTTCAGCATGGAAAAGGAACACCTAATCTTTTGGCCAAATTTACGGATGATGTCAACAAACAACTTAATGTTAAAAATCATGTTTTAGTGTTATTTATAGATTTTTCTCGTGCTTTCGATACTCTTAATCACAAACAATTAATCTCAAAACTCGAACAAAGTGGAATAAGAGGTCCGTTACTCAAATTGTGTGCAAATTATTTACAAGGTCGAACGTCTTTAGTTAAAGTCAATGACACCTATAGTGATCCAATTATGTTAACTGAGGGTACAGCTCAGGGTTCGGTACTTGGACCATTGCATTTTTTATCGTATGTAAACGACATGAGTAATTATTTGGAGCATACTGCTTGCTATCAATACGCAGACGATACGTGTCTTGTTGCTGCGGGTAGGGATCTAGTGGAAACGTGTGAGCGTCTGCAACATGACTTTAACGTGCTCCAAAAATGGTGTCACGACGCTGGCCTGGTATTGAACTCGGATAAAACCACATTATTACACATCAAATCACCATACTTAAAAAGTGATAACGTAATAAAAATAGTCGCCCACAACCATGTGTGTCTGCATAATGCAAATTTGTGTGCTTGTGTCTGTCCGTTAATAAAAGAAGTTGAGTCGCATGTATACCTAGGTCTTACGATTGACAGCAAATTTCATTGGAGCCAACATATCGAATCTGTTTGTACTAAATTACGGCTTTTTTTGGCTAATATCACAATATTGAATAAACGCATTCCCTTCAAGGTTAAACTAATGCTATACAATTCATTGGCGGAATCCTACATCCAGTATGGACTGAGTAGTTATGGACGTACATACAAAACTTATCTTAATAAAATATACAAATTGCAATTGAGAATTTTAAAAACGATAGTTTTACCGAAAATCAACGCAAAATATGATTGTAATGATAATGGCCTTTTTAAATACTGTGGAGTTTTGCCAATTTTTTCTCAGATAAAGTACGCTCTTCACAAGGAATACTTTTTTAGAGAGGAACTTTTGAAAAAAAAGAAGCACTCTGTGTACACGCGCGCCATTGCAAACAACAGATTGATGATCGAACGGGCTAACAACATATATGGCGAGCGGACGGCCAGTTACATTGTACCACGAATAATTAACGAACTACCCCCGGATTTAATACAGCTTATACATCCTAACAACTTAAAGAAATTACTAAAAGTTTATTACTTAGATGTGCTTGGTGACTAAATACTGTGCCAAGTGCGTGTTATTACTTAAATGTTTAAATTGCTGTTTTTAATAATATGTTAATTAAGTTGTTGCCGATATGTTTTGAATGCATGTTTTATATAATTTTATTCCTAGCACATGTGTACAAACCTTCTTGGTTTCTCTTCATGGCTTAGTTTAATTACCATGTTAAATAATTTTTCTCGAACTGTAAATAAATTTAAATATTTATTTTATCTTAAATCTCTTAAATATTTATTTTATTTTGGTTTTTTGTATTTGTTGTTGAAGCGGCAACAGATATACCTCATCTGTGAAAAATGCAACGAGCTAATTTTGACGATTCATGAGATACAACCTGGTGACAGACGGACCGACAGCCAAGTCTCAGGGTATAATAGAGTTTCCGTTTTACCCTTTGGGTACAGAACCCCTTAAAATGGATGGCGCCATAGTCGTTGCATATTGTCAGGTGTATGCGGTCAGATAATACCGTGGAACTTCCCGTTGTTGATGGCGTCGTGGAAGCTCGGGCCCGCGCTCGCCACCGGCAACGCCGTCGTCATGAAGCCCGCGGAGCAGACGCCCCTCACCGCGCTGTACATCGCGCAACTTGTCAAGGTACATAATAGTGTTGGGGCAATATCGTTAGTTCGACTTATCGATACTAGACGGACTCTTTAATATCGATATATGCCTATCTACAGAGAGATTCTGAGATAAAAATCCGAATTGCAATCGTGTGTCCGAATTCACGTTGTTTAGTGTAGCAATTATATTGAATTCATTTTTTGTATAAAATTACAAAACAAAATTGATTGATTATACAGGAATATTTTTTTTCCAGTGCAAAAATTTTTTTTGGTGGTTCAGTATCAGTAATAGAACACTTTTCCATAATTAGTTAAAAAATTTTTTTTTAATATTTTTATCCCTATCGAAACGGTAGAATATGGACACATTTTTTAAAATAAAACTTCAATGAAAACGTCTTCTCTTGCGTATGCCACCGTGCAACCCCGCCGCGCCCGGTAGCCCCCCGCCACAGCCCCCACCGCCCCGCCGGGACCGAGCGACGCGCGCGACAGTGAGACTCATACGCACGCGCCGATGTGACGTGTCCTCGCGTTCCCGCGCACGCGACGCGCCCGCCGTCGTGAGTTTTACGAGATGTACGAGTTTATCTTTTGAGTGGTGAGAACCTACATAAGCGCAATTCGGAGAAAGTATGCGACGAAGAGCATACCTCGTATGCGGGCCTTTGGGATCCATAACCCCGCGGTCCCTAATGCTTCGAACCATTTTAACAGACGAAGTCCCAGAGTCAGTACCCACGATGCGGCATATCTCTTTGGTGTGAGCCAGCCTGCGGTATTGAAGCTGCTAAAAACAGCCGGACTCCATCCGTACCACTTTCAGCCGGTTCAGCAGTTCCATGACCTAGACCCAATACCACGTCGAGCCTTATGTGAGTGGCTTCTACATCACCGCGATGTAAACATCTTGTAGACGGATGAGGCATTGTTCACAAGTGAGGGACTGTTTCTTATGGGAAGAAGTCAAACGCCGAGATGTAGAGGAGGCACAAAGTCTAGAAGACAACAATAAAAAATAATAACGCTTTCAGTGAAGTGAAAAGTGACACTAGTGTTTTAAACAAATTAAATGACAATTTAATGAAATGTGCACGTTTATGTCTGGACAGACGTGGACTTCATTTTGAACAAATATTAAAATACATGGTAAGTAATTAGTTAGGTATTTGTTTTGATTCAACATTATTGTAAATACGTAGTTGATTCTAATTTTTTTAAATACGCCTTAACGCAGAAGTACCTATGTAACTTCGGCATAACGTTAATATTTTTTTCTAGGTAACGAATTTGTTTCTCTTTTATTTTTTTGCATTTTGATGGCCTTAACCATAAAAGTATGAAGGGAAAATTGGAATTACTCTTAAAAAACACCTCAGATTATGGCAAAATGAGCGTTCAGTGACCCGTGTAGATAGGTACCTACGAGTACATGCCTACGGCGGCGTCGAGCGAGCGCTCAGCTGACGCACGGCGCGCGGTGTCCATAAATGAAGTTTTAAAATCTCGATCTTTGATAAGCGATAACTTTATTTTTTAGTATTAGAACATATCAAAATAAAAAATACGTGTTTATTTAAATTACTTAAAGTTTATTTTCACAAAATCTTCGCAGTGGTTTTAAATTATTCCTGTATGTGTCTCAGATATTCTATCACCATGTAATTTCGAAACTCACTACACTTATGCCACGATACGTTGATACCAATTTAAAATTAAGCGGATGTCGCTTTCGTAGCGAATTTGAACACCCGGGTGAATTTCGAATTTGGGTTCCGATTTTTATGGAATCGTAGGGCAGGCATAGATTTATGCCTGCCCTACGATTCCATAAAAATCGGAACCCAAATTCGAAATTCACCCATACCTTAAAATATGACGTCTTAGCGATGCTATGGCGGTGTTTATTTTCATTTTACTACTCTGAAATGTACATTAATAACGACGAACGATTAATAAAGAATTATGAACGTGGATTTGACAGCAGTGTTACCAACTTAGTCGTTTATCGAAAGACAAATAAAAGACGTGTCAGTGTAGTAACACCTGACGAAATATCGTCATATCGCTAAGATGCCGTATCCTATAGCTATAGAGAGTTAGGCGATCGCACCCCAGTTCTTCTCAGTTTGGTAAATAGTATCAATTAACTATTGCAATACATCATCGGCTCTGACTATCGATGTTTAAGAACATCGTTACTATCCATGTTTGCGTTATCGCTCTGACTCAATAGTATAGTTTAGTAGTATTCGCTTATGTTGGTACTGTAATATTCCCAGGCCTGAATCTTGATATAAATGTAATTGCCACTTCAACGTGACTAATTCAAGTCTATCGATAGTATTATCTATCGTGGCCTATCGAACGGCAACACTAGTAATATAATATAGAACTGTCACACAGTGAAAGCTTCCGCTGAGCCAATGAATTTTAAAGATTTCTAAAATTGTACGTTTGTAAAATTTTAAGTGTGTAAAACATGATGAACACTGTTAATATAGGTACCCATTTTTTGAAACGGCTGTTTACAGGTGTCACCTGGACCTGTACCGTAGCTCGTACGCATTTCTTTTGGGAAATAAACATATTGCAACTGTACTATTGTCCCCTAGAAGAGTACTTGCGACTGTTCTATTGTATCGTAGAAGGATTCCATAAGAATTATTTAATGCGACATAACCAGATTAAGCAGATAATGTCATCTGAATTAATATATTGAAGTAAAACATACCTATTTATTATTACAGACCCTATGAACATGGGTAATAAAGTGCAGACTTTAATTTATACTAAAATACTATCCCAGTTAATTTTTATGCAAACTTATAGTTAATAAAAAAAAACAAGGCTTTATAATGCTCCCAAAGGTACACTATAATATGACGGACTACTTGTGACTTATTTACCGGAAATCATATTATTTTTAATATAATGTGGAGTGTTCACAACGAATGATAAAAAGATCATCTTATTAAGTAATACACAATGTCTTGTTGGTTTAGGAAGCCGGTTTCCCTCCGGGCGTGGTGAACATGCTACCAGGATACGGAGACGCGGGCGCCGCTCTGGTGGAACACCCAGATGTTGACAAAATAGCATTCACAGGTATATTCATAATTTTAATTATAAAGCGACTCTACTACAACTCGCAGGCTAGACATGAAATATACACTGTGTATTTGAGAAATTAACTTTACACAAAAAATAAAGGGTGTATTTATGTATAAATAAACTGTAATCAACAATAAAAAAATAACATCCAGTTCTCGGTATTGAGGGATCCCGCATCTTTTTTCCAAACACTCGTTGCGGGATTACAGCCGCGGGATCCACCAAGCTAAATATTTGAAGTCATAATAACTTTAGTCAACATACAGTTGAAAATGTTTATGGTTTATATTTTAATTTAGTAGTAACATATTTTGTACTTGGAGGTTTTATCTTTTTTTTCGTATTTATGTCAGTTTTCAGCGGAAAATAAAGGGACGCCGCAGGATTATAAATTCTTAGGCACTCAAATACCGAGATTGAATTACAGGCTGCGGGTTTGGAAACCCAAATCGTATCTACGGACTGGTTCGTGTAGATAAGATAGTGAAGAGACAGGGATAGTCGCGATACACGAGTAACCGCGCATGATTAGACAGCTAACATCATGAATAACAAAGTTTAGAACAAACATTGTTATTGATTTGATAATTATTTAAATTTTATGTTTGCTATTTAGTCTCAATATTGCGAGTACACTAATACCCTAACCCTGTATATGTATTGGCAGGTTCGACAGAAATTGGCAAGTTGATTCAACGTGGTGCAGCTAACACTTTGAAGCGTATAACATTAGAGTTGGGCGGCAAATCACCTAACATTATATTCGGGGACGTGGATCTAGAGAAAGCCGTGGAAGCGGCACACTTCGCACTCTTCTACAATATGGGCCAGTGCTGTACCGCTGGTAAGATATCACAATAAAAGTAATCATCTATACTAAAATTATAAAAATGAAAGGTTTTTTGTTTTCGTTTTATAGACACCGAAACTACTGAACTAATTTTAAAAATTCTTTCACCTACGGGAAGCTACGTTATACTCTATAATTTATATGATATCTCTTCTAGAAATAAGTTGAGAGTCGATTATCTGTTATTTCTATTTTAAACTACAATAAATGATAATAGAAACATTCAGATTTTAATTTACATTAAAGCGAAAATTCAAGGTCAAAAAGATATGGTCAGTATGCAATGCAAATGAGACAAGTCCTTTTATTTCTTAGCAATAAATAAGATGGTAGTTACAAAAAAGGCGAAGTGTGAGTTGGACTTTCGCATGAAGGATTCTATCCACCACCAGCCCTTTTACGTCCCCACTGCAGGGGCTCAGGCCTTCCTTATGGATGGTTAAAGAGGATGGGCCATGACCCTCCACGCTGGCGCAATGCGGATTGGAGGGAAGTATTCTATGCCATCATTTAATAAAGCATTAAATAACGTTTGTTGTTATAGAGGCAAAATACATCTTCTGTGAAAATTTCAACCATCTAAAGTATACCCTGTAATTGGATGTGCAATTTAGGAGCTGAACGTTTTTATAGATTTTAATAATAAAGAAATAAGAAATTAAATGTGATCAATTTTGCATTCACAATGCTATTAAAATTAAAGTACTTATATAAAATTAATTATCGATATCAACATAAATATTTTTAACGATAACAGAATATATATTCATGACACAGCCTGGTGACAGACGGACGAACATGCTTTACCCAAAGGGGGTGTCGTAAAAATTACCAAATATCAGGAGGGAAAGAGGGGTGTAGTAAAATATTACGATATTTATTTTATAGTCAAACACGCGATTACTAATACGAAAAGCGGCGTCACGTATGACACTGATTCGTCCAAAATAAGATTCTTGGTAGTTATTAAAAATACATGACATTGGAGGGGGGGGGGGGGGGGAGGTTAATTTTAAACTATGTATCGCAAAGGGGAAGGATGGGTCAAAAAATGACAAAAACCATTGTTGACGACAGCCACGTGCCGAAAAATGTACAGATCGAACTACCAATCACAGCGCCTACATTTGCGGAATTCTCAGGGAGCCCATTGGCTGCATAGGCGCCGTCCGCACGGTGGGGGCGATTCCCCCACCCGGCGCGCGGGCGCAAAACGCGCTGTGATTGGTCGGCCGCCGCGCGTCACTAGTATCTAAGTTAGATGTTAAGTTTAGAATAAGGGTAGGGCCAAATTTGTACATATTCGTAGTCAACTAGTAGTCAGTCAGGCAGTTCAGCAAGAAGTCCATCAGCAGTAGCAGTTAAGTCAACTAGTCAGTAAGAAGAAAAATAAATCGTCAATAGAAAAATCCGTCTTTGTTTTGCACCATCATCAAAGGTTATACAGCATCCTCTACAACCATCACGCGATTAAAGGGCGGCAACTAATATTAATACTGTGTTGTTTCCAGGATCTCGTACGTTCGTGGAGGCGTCTATATACGATAAGTTCGTAGAGCTATCGGCGGAACGTGCACGAGCACGAGTAGTTGGCGATCCGTTCAGGCCCGACGTAGAACAAGGGCCACAGGTAAACGAGTTAAAATTTATTGAACAGTAATAAAAGTGGTATAAATGCTAAAAGAAATAGTAGCAAAAACCTTCTCATTCTGAACTGAGTTCTCGCATAAATATTTCAAAAGTTTTAACGTTCCTTCAATTAAATTCTATTTCAAGTAATATTTAGTTTGGATGTGTATAGTATAATAATGTGTGATTCTATTGAAAATTGTTGTAAATTCAAAATATATATTTAAAAAAAACTAGCTTTCCGCCTGTGGCTTCTACTTTATCGTTACTTCATATTCTGTGTCTTTATACGAAATTTCTTGGTTTATCCTTCAAAAAGACAATTCTTCACACAAATTTTTATCTTTTATTTCGACCCTTTCAGGCCTATTTTCGCATAATATCTATAGTCCTTTTCTAAAATTCACTCCTTCTCTGTACCTACCGATTTATTTAAAATGCTTTTCTTTATAGTTAGTTTCGCATTTACGATGTCAGTATGAATAAAATTGAATTTATTAATGTCGACTTGTTTTGTTGCCTTATATTTGTCCAATTATTCACGAGAGTAAATTATTTTTAAGAAATTCTCCATATAACATGATCAGATCGACGCGGAGCAACACAAGAAGATCCTCGATTTGATAGAGGAGGGTAAACAAGAGGGCGCCAAGCTAGTGGCGGGCGGCGGACGAGTCGGCGACCGCGGGTACTTCGTGCAGCCCACCGTCTTCAGCGATGTCAAGGACGATATGAATATAGCTAAAACAGAGGTATATTTTTAAAGTTAACAACCACAATCTGTCACTTACTTTGAATCCTTATCTTCTTATATTTATGTGGGTATATGCTATATTGTTTGTATATAATGTTTGTGTGGTATTTATTATTTAATCCATTTACTAAATATGTGTTTGTTTTACTGTACTAAAGTTTTTAAGACTCCATAAGGTACCCATATTTAGATGTAATTTTTTCCTGTACGCAAAGGTTGCCTGGAAGAAATTACTTTTTAGTAGTAAGGCCGCCAATTGTGCGTTTTATTTGATTGTATCTATTTGTTTTTATCCTGTATTTGTGTATAATAAAGCATATTTCATTCATTCATACAGTCAATAGCTCGTCAGGCTATACGAAACTCTATTTTTTTTAGTGAATCGTAGATAAAGTTCATATTCAATTGAGGGAATTCGACATATTTTGGTCGTGGGTAGTATTACTATAGATAATCGGACAGCGATTATATAAAAATCTCAAATATTTGGTAAGAAAACTATTTAGGAAAACATCATAAGGGTTATTTATGTATACAATTATTTGTGTATTTATCTTTTTAATAAAAATATCTCTTTTATTTACCCTACTCATCGTTGTCTAGGTTGCAGTTTACACGGCATTTTTAAACGTCGTGTAAACTACAACCCAGACAAATATTAATATAATATTTTTCGAGGTTCATTCACAATCCTTGTTAATTAGTAATTTAAAACATTTTTGAAATATTTGCCTCATATAGTGATATAAGTTGAGAACACGTATTTTTTCGTTGTAGATATTTGGTCCGGTGCAGCAGATTATGAAGTTTTCATCGATAGAGGAAGTGATTCAACGTGCCAACGACACTCAATACGGTTTGGCCGCAGCGATCTTCTCCAACGACCTAGATAAAGTCAATTATCTAGTGCAGGTATTATATAGTCCATCCATGAGATTTTGTACAACTACCTACTTTTGATTATAAAAGTTGACGGCTTATTACTATAGATTTGCTCTCCCCTCGCCTAGAACTTGCGTATACTCCTAATTACTTACATTGAAATGTGAAGTTTATTTGTTTGTTAGTATGGACCATCTTTCCTTATATGGACTACCTTTGATCATTGATCTTATACATAACTCGTACGAATTAATATTACACCAATTCTATTTGTCCTCGAACGAATAAATAATATAACGCACGTTGAAAATGACAATGACACTAACCAAAAACGACGTATTTTTTACTTTTGGCAACATTTTTCTTTGTTAAGTATAAACTTTAAAATGCAAAGATCCCTGTGAACGTAGCTTGCGTAGAAATTGCTAGGTGGCGTAGTGATGATACGTTGTTTTTGAGGGGTTGATTACAATTTCTTGAACTTTAAACACTCATTACTCAAAATCGTATTTTTTGCATTGTGTCACTATCGTTCTCAACGTGCGATAATTTGAAAATTTCGAATTGTTTCATGATTTTATTAAAATCATATTTGCGAGAATTATCGATCCATCAGAGGGAGTGTCAGGTCTTATCTCCATCGCAATATAAATTATCTATAACTTTCTTTGGAGTTGAATTAGCATTTTAAAAATAGACAAAACTTTGTTTCCTTTGAATAGGGTGTTATAAGTACGAGTACTATATTGTCCTTTTTTTTGTTTAGGCTATCCGCGCGGGCACTGTGTGGGTGAATGATTATCATGTGTTCGGTAATCAAGTACCGTTCGGTGGCTTCAAGCAATCCGGTATCGGCCGCGAGAACGGACCGTACGGACTCAACAACTATACAGAAGTCAAAGCAGTCGTCGTTAAACTAACCGATAAGAGCTCATAAGGAACTATACAAACGGCCCTATACAAACCGAAGTACAGTCAGCATATAACTGTCGAATTTATCAAATCTATTTTTATAATGCTATTTAAAATACAGCATTTATTTGTAGACATTTGAAACTTGTTGATCCTCAAAATTTTCTTCCATGTTTATATACCGGAGTGTACGATCGTACTTTCAGTGGCGTATGTCATACGCCACTGAAATAAGAGCGACACTCCTAATATGGTATACACAACAGTGGTACAGCAAATTTTGCTTCGAAGTCTTCAACTTGAGAATATTTTTATAATGTGTAAACACTCAGGAGTTATTTAATTTTTGAATGGAGGCGCATTTTGTTCTTGACTCTTCATACTTTGACGATATACTAGGTTATGACGTTATAAGTGAGCATGTTCTATTTTATGTCAAATAAAATGCATTTTTTTCGGGATTTTATTGAGATATTTCTTGCAAATAATTCTAAAATCATGTATTGATGGAATAAATAATAAATTAGTTCTAAATCTCTATTGCATCGTTTTTAAGAGTTCATAGGAACTCCAGATTTTACTAATCGTTTTAATTGATTTTAAACCTTAATGGATTGAAGGTTAATCTAATAAAATAGATTGATTTATTATTTCTTAGTATTAATTTGATGTCCATATAAAGTTGTCGAATACAAATTTATTACAGATTATTTCCATAATCGCTAAAGTATAATTATGTAACTAATTTGTATTCGATTTCTTTGCTATAAAGTTTCAAACTTTTAATGAGACAATGTCAATGCTCGATATCAAGTTTAGGATTATTTTCTGATGCTATTTTGCAAAGCAGCTGTAAATTGTGTTATGACCTCTATAATATTTTATGGAGGAACTGTAAGGCCAGTATCACATTTTGTATTTTTTTGACTTTCTTTTTTTATTTTTGTAACTCTCATGTGATTATTTCGAATACTAAGAAATAAAATAAATTGCATTTTGTGCTAAGACTGATTTGGAATGGAAAGTTTCATCAAATAGTGATGAAATAAGCTAGAATTCTTTCCTACTTTAAGTATCCAATTCAATGGTGTAATCAAATTACTTGTCTATGCACACGATGCCATAAGCTGAAATCAATGGAAAACTAAAGATTCAAGAGGTGCAATGTTTATATAAAAAAGTGTACTTCACTATAAATATTTTTGATGTAAGTGCCATGTCTTCCACGCATTATTGTTATAATAATTAAAATGTATGTATATTTTTAAGTCTTACTTTTTCTGTTACTGATATTACTGCCAAAAAAATATATATTTTTCAATAAGAAACTTCAATAAAACTATGCATAAAGTACAATGTTTTATTCATAACGATTAAATCTAAAATCAACTAAGGGCTAAGTAACAATAAGTTTAAAAAATATGCTTTTAATAAATCGTAAATAACTTTTTAAAAATTTAGTATTCAAAGAATTACAAGTTTAAAATAAGACAAAATTGCGGCAACAAAAACCTTTGGTGCGTTTGAATAATTTTATAAATCGTTAGAAACTAGAAATATAGTTTTAACAAAATAAGATCAATGTGAGGTAATAATAGATTTAAAACAGTGCAAGAGCCTTTCAAAGGTGACATTCTAAGAACTAATCCTAGTGATCACAACAGTGGAATGTTTGGTGCTTCTTAATCTAGAAATCACATAGCCTTGCGTACTTCTAAAAACTAATGGACAAAAATAATTAAAACATGATGTAAAAAAACCTATCACATGACTTGTCTTTGGGACATTTAAATGCGAGCATATTAGGTATCGAGTTAAATATTATACAGTAAATATAATTGTTACGTAATTTTAATTCCAATTGAGTAAGTTACATTCAAACAATTAAATACATAATATAACACACATTGGCGCTTGTTATGTTATGTGGTCATTATTCATATTATTAGTAAGTTTGTACTTGTCTAATTGAACTATCAAATTACTTGAATAGGCATTTTCATTTTATTCACTGATATTAATATGCTGCAGCAGATTCCACTAATGGTGGTTTCAATAAATATTTGTATCTACTAGTAATAAGTATTATGCATTGTACTTAACGTTGTAAGTATGGTCATCATAATCACATTGTTAGTTATAATTAATCACCGACTAAGTAAACAATGCCTTTGCCAGTGTACATTCATTTGGACGGAATCAACCAGCGTCACAAACTATTCACGATTATATTCGATTTGTCGAGCTATCAATCCTGTTGATAAAACAAAATATTGTCGTTAATTATCACCCAACATGTATGAGGCATCATTAGATTAGAGACTAATTTCTTATCGAATCATTCAGTGATATCCTATTAGTTAAAGTAGAATTTCTTTGTATTCTAATCTGAAGTATCTACTATGCAACACATAGAAGTCACTCCTAGTCGGTAATTTCTTCGTTTATTATTGATAAGTTTTCTTCAGATATCTTTTCTAAACAACCGCACGCTATCGACGAAAGATTGCTGTTAGCGAGGTCTTCTTCTATCTTCTTTTCTAGAAGCTCAAAGTCATCATTGTCCGCTTGGCACTTGAGGCATTCTTCCGAAGAGGAGTCTTGGTAGCACATCACGTTCTCTATATTGACTTCCACTTCGTCATTTCTGTCATCTTTCATACTCAACGAGGGGCTACTGTTGCTCAACAGTCGGGTCTCTTTCGTTATGTTCTGCTGCATGAATACTTCAGATTTGGGTCGCACTTTCATCGTTTCTTTAGGTTTGATAGTTCTCGATGTGACTGGCGTTTGAGGTCTTTTGTCTTTGGGGAATATGCGCTGTATCCTTTCTTCGACTAGAGATATGCTACGTTTGTAGACGACCGTGTCTTGAGGGTCATGGCGGCCGTCTAATGCGTCACGTGACTCTGTATCTGAGGAGTCGCAGCGGAAGTATATGGTGTCGCAGCCGTTCTCCTGCTTCACTTTGATGAGGCAGCATTCGTCCTCCTTCTCGCAGAGAATCTCGTGCAGGGATCCGTGCAACGGAATCAGTTTCACTTTACCGCCGAAGTTCTCTTGCATTTGAGTTGATAGGTCATCATCTATGTACAAATCTTCGGTGCTTCTAGCTTCCTGAAATGTGAATGGTTATTAATAATCTTAACAATATTCTCTTATAATCTCAGTTTTGTTCGTAACGCTTTTTATTCTTACATATTTGTATACCGGAATATCGTGTATGTACTTATAATTGTGATTATAGCTATATTTGAACTGACTTATATTTTGCTTTGCTGTTTTCAGCGCAGTCTGACGTTTAAGTGACGAATAAAAATTAATAGAACAAAATAAGTTAATAAATAAATCCAGACAAGAATCTTGAGGTTCGAAAGTAAAAGTATGACAATGACGCACGGAAAAAATTTCAAAGTAAACTTTCACAGTCCAATCAACTAGCATAAATGATTACCTGAATCGCGCTGAAAGCCTGGCATCTCTTGAGAGAGTTTATATGTGCATCATCTGTGGAGGCGGGGTCCGGTGCGGCGCCGGATACGTGACCGGACGTTGCATCGGACACCTGACCGGACGCTGCGCCAGACACGGCGCCGGACCCCTGACCGGACGCCGGACACGGCGGGGAGAAACCCACCACGCTACCGTCACGCACAGTCACACTAACACAACCGTCCAATACTTGTAAACTGTTCTCCCCCGACCGGCTGAACGTTATCTGGAGAAGGGGTTTATTATTGCCGTTGATCTTCACTCTAGAGAAAGATTTAACCTCTTTCTTGTCTTCGTCGCTCCTCAAATTGGCGATAATGTTTGCGACGCCCTTGTTGAGTATCTCCTCGCTCCTGCTAACTGTAGGGCAGGCGTCATCGGATAGCTCGTGCAATAGATGCGTGAACTCCTTCCTGATCAGATCTCTTATGAACTCTTCTATACTTCTCGTTTCTGTCGCCTGGTCCACTCTCGTGTCCGACGTGGGCATCTGTTCCTCAGTTTCGATTCTGATAGAATAGAGTATGTAAATTCATTATAACAAATTAGTTGAAATAAAAGAGGAAATATTGGGAGACTCAAAATTGTAACCTGTTTAAAATTCTTCCTGAATCAATAGAAACATGAATTTATTATTAGACAAAATCTAACGTGTCATGTTTTAAGATTGCAAATCCATATATTGTATGTATCAGTCAATTTTGATGGTATAATCTCGAGAAACATGATAAAATTAGAAGTCGTGACGAAATGTGCAAGTTTTTCTAAAGGTCGATATTTCAGTATGTTGAAGTACTAACATTCTCAAATGAAATAGGTTTTCTTTTCCAAATCTCAAGGTATACGTAATTGAATGTGTACAGATTATTTGAACAGTTAATAATAATCTGGATATAACTTTCGCAAAGAATTGTTTTAATATTAATCCATGGTTTATGATTATTTCATCCAAGAAATATTATTATACTCTTGTATACTTTAATATAAAAAATAGTATACTTCTGGTATCTTAGTATAGCAGGACTAAACCTAAATTTTGTCTTAATTGAGCAACAGAATTGCTACTATGCCATTATAGGTACTAAATAAATGGTCTTACAAAAAATCGAAATTAGATTGATAGTTTTGTTTTATATTTTCATCAACACTGAAATATTTAATAACGCTATTTTACCCTTTGTGTTCGCTTATCCTGTGCGCGGGCCGACGGGCCTGATTCCGTTCGAAGTTGACGCCTCGAGCTACGGCTTCCCGCGCCTGACAGAATTGCTCCCATTGCCCACCTGGTAACCGTTGTATCCGAATATACACCGTGTATAACTTTGTAAAGATCAGATCACTCGTAATGAGCACTGATCTCAATAGAGCAGATATCAAAATTCATCTTTTTGATCATTACATTATAACGAGTTAGTAGAATTCTAGCTATTATCACGCAGTCAATTCCATCTTTTTCCATGGAAATAAGAACTTGTTGATTTGAAAAAAAAAGTAAAACAAATGAATCGACATCTCCAACGAATAATATTGTAACTATATCAAAGTAAATTTTACAGTACAGTCAAATATTTTAATTTTTTAATTGTCATTTATGAAGTCAAATATCTTTACACGTAAACTTCATAAATTGATAGCAATAAACGGTTCGAAAATCATTGATTGGCTGTACCGGTAAAGTTATAAAATGCAACTGCCGTTTGTTTTATTTTCTACGCAGTCTTGTCTTACTATCGGCATTTGATGTTTTAAGTAGGAGTTGTGGAAATATCGTTTCGGTAAAGTAACCATTACCACCGTTCAAACATCCCGTATCAACAAAAATAAATAAATTAATGTTTCAAATAATCAATAGTTATTAAAGCTCCACATAGATGGCAGCTCTAGCACATGTAGAAAAAAACAAATATTTAAGAACATGAATCTATGGGAATTGAATGATTCCTTTTTGTTAGGATTATATTATTGAATAAAATCTTATCTCTTACACTTTCCAATTATAAATTTAAAATAAAAACTTAATGCCTACTGATCGTACAATAAAGTTATATTGTTACTCTTTGCTCATTACTCTGTGAATGAAGTTTGATGTTTTTAAAAATGTTTTATTTTAAGTGCTAGTGCTGTAATCTGGCGACCGAAAGTTGCAGTCGTCTCATATAAAATACGTCAAAATAATTAAATTAAAAAAATATTTATTACGTTACAACTGTTTTTATTGGAATCAAATTGTGAAACACAGATTGTTTGTACATGGTACAAATGAAAAACAAAATTCAACCAAAACATAATACCTTAACCACACAAAAAAGTGAAAAGCTTCATCTATTAACATGCATAGTAAAACCTTTATGTACGAGAATACAAAGGGAAACATTTATCATGCACATATAAATAGGTTTTTTATAATCATCACTTTTATTATTATTACGATTCTCCGATTTTGTACGGATTGAATGATTTATCTGTCTTCTACTAAAATAATGTACATTTCCAATACTCTATAGGTATATGTGAATCTTTAATTGGTTTTCTGTATAATAAATTGTTAGTACTCATTTTAAGGTAAGTGTTGAAAACCTATGAAAATAAAAAGTTTTAAACAAAGTGACCCGACTACCCAGCCTCACATAAAAATTTTCTAAATTCGTTTTTTTTTATTTTTGTATTTTCAAATCAAATCAAGACACTTCAGTCAAGTAATAAACAAATAATATGAAACCACATAGTGCGTGGCTCTAAATTACGTTGACCAATTAAAAATGAAACATGCATTGTTAAAAGTAAAAAAAGCTATAAAAATGCAATTTAAGTAACAAGGTAAGCTTAAAAAAAATTTGACTTACACCCGGTTTCTGAATTGAGAATCTGAAGTTGAGCACGTCTCACGTCTTTTTAACGTTATTTAAACAGGTTTTTATTACTGATTTATAATTTATTAATGATCAGTTGATAGAAATTTGATAAATGTAGAACTTTTTCCATATGAAACGTAAAAACCCTAAGTTTTTGAGAATAATTAGTTCAGATTTTGTGCTTATATCTCAATTCAGAAATCGGCCGTTCGTATTAGTTACAATTTTATTCTAAGTAATTAAATATAACATGTTAAATAACTTCGCTACACTACGTTAATCACCTAACCTCTGAGACCCTAGGACAGTGGTTCCCAAGCTTTTCATTACTGTAGGTCCTGATTATCCCTATGACCTATTAGGGTAACTGTATTGTTTACCGCCGCTTTGAAAAGTATTACAAACATAACAAATAAATGAAATAAATAATTAATTTTGATTTCGCTTAAAACATGACGAGGAGACCGTAGACTCAAGACTTGAAGAGAAATAGGTGCACTGTTCACACACGGTGAGTTCTCAGTATGGTTCTTTCCGTTCTCCGATAGGATGACTTTGCTAGTGCAGAAGATTTGTAGATGAGCACAAGCATTGTGTCGTGCAAACGTCAGGTCTCACGACGTACTATACTTAAACGAGGATGGGGTGGTTTTCTCTTTCTCGCCAGTAAAGTCCCTTTGAAGCGGGGTAAAATACCGACAGCAAACGGAGAATACGCGAACCCGAGAACGAGAAGGCGAGAAACATATCACATTCACGTATCTCGGGTGTTCTCGGGGTTTCCCGGCGTGCGTCTGTACGGCCTCTTAAATCGTATTCCACATTGATACGATCTCAATGTTCTATTATTAACGACTGATTTACCCTTAAAGGTAATTAAAAGGGTAAATCAGCCGTTAATAATACGGAACCACTGCCCTAAGAGGTTGCCTTGCTATAACATTTGAAATAAGCATTTTGTTTCAACTGCGCAGCAACTTAAATTACTATACAGCATTTAGTTATTAGTGTAATTACATGACATATATTATAAAAGATTGTCATCGCATATTTTTAAGGTATTAAAGAACTTGTAAGTCCCGTAAATTGCTAATGCGCTGGAACCTTGGCTAAATAACTCCCGCGAGACGTCATATGAAAACAGAAAGTAAAGATAGCACAAAAGGCAAGAGATAAGTTATTGAAATATTTATAAATAATCCCCAAAATATTATTATAATAATTTAATAACTTTTAATTTGTTAATTAATTGCATAATTTTTATGGAAAGGAACCCATTTATAAGTTTGTTAATACTAAGATATATGAAAAATATAAAAAATAACATTTACTTTGTAAAATCACGATAACAATAGGAAAGAACATATTTTTAAAAATTACCAAAAGTAATAACAGAGTAATAGAGACATTACATATATTTATTATTAGTGAAATTATGTTTACTTTTTGTGAAAATCATAATAGCAGTCGCTATTTTAGTCAGACGTAACAAGCAACAACAAAATTTAATACTAACAATCGAAACCAACAAAAATGATGTGTGATATCAATGCAACCCAACTCAATAATTCTCTACTCGACAACCAGTGTTTATTTGTTAACAGTACTGATTTTTGAACGCAATCACGTCATCAAAATGACATCCAGGCGCATTAGCAGTTTGCGAGGATTATATATTCAAATGTCAGACATTTGAGTAATATTTTATCGGCTCAAGGTTATCTTATTACCAGACACGTCAGTCAGTCGGATATTAAATAAATATTAGAACCGTTTTATTTTTGATTAAATTTAACAAGAAATACGTTAGATAACAAGCATTAAAGTTTACGATAGATGTTACGGTTAATTTATCCATTACGCAAAAAAAATACGTGTTTAATATTCATCATCTACCAAGATGAAGATTTGTTACTCACCGGTGTTAAGATGTGAGGTGGCGGCAGCTGCGAGGCGACGCGGGAAGCATCTAGATCACAGAACAATATTATATACAGAGAACTCATGACAAACATGTATATACAATGTATAAGAACTTTTAACGGTTGATATTTGAGTATGTTGAAGTACTATGGATACACATTATCTAGTTCCCACTGCGAAGGTCAGGAATTATGACAGTCAAAACAATTATAGGTATACCAAACAAAACATTAATTGTTAAAAAATATATAAAATCAGAACCACGCTTTAGACTTATGATTATATGAAATATACTAGGCTTCAGTGCGTAGTGTTTTGTACTAACACAGAATTGGAATAAATAAAATAACATCAAAAAGCCAACATCACGCGGTGTTCCCAGGCGGTCACCCATCCAAGTACTGACCGCGCCCGATGTTGCTTAACTTCGGTGATCGGACGAGAACCGGTGTATTCAACATGGTATGGACGTTGGCGATTAACGCGTTGAATCGGAGAAATAAAATCATCACAGATTCAATTACTTTGATGGTAATAGATGGCATTAGTGTCGTAACATGTATTTTTAATTATAAACATAAACGCCCATATTGATTTAAAACTACATATTTTGCGCTTACAATACCTATAAAATGTAGCAACAAATGGATTTGATTTATTACATTTTTCTGGCTACTTTATTTACTTTTTTATAAGAAAGGGTCCTAAAAGACGAAATATGTTACACTTTAGGTGTAAACAAGAAAAGTTTCCCTTCAAACCTATATGAATTATGTCTATATATAGTTGATTACATTAATTTATTAATGGCGTCATAATTATAATCACAAACAAAATAATAGTACCTCTAAATAATGATACATGAACATTTATAATCAAACTTCTAATTAAGAAATCGAGGTTAGTTTATAAAAAAAAGACAAAAATAAAAAAGCCAACATCACGCGGTGTTCCCAGGCGGTCACCCATCCAAGTACTGACCGCGCCCGATGTTGCTTAACTTCGGTGATCGGACGAGAACCGGTGTATTCAACATGGTATGGACGTTGGCGACTGACGCTTTGAATCAGAGAAATTAAATCATCACAGATTCAGTTACTTTGCCTGATAATAGATGGCATTAGTGTCGTAACATGTATTTTTATTTTTAATCATAAACGCCCAAATTGATTTAAAACTGGATATTTTGCGCTTACAATACCTATAAAATAAAAATGTAGTAACAAATGGATTTGATTTATAATATTTTTCTGGCTACTTTATTTACTTTTCTATAAGAAAGGGTCCTAAAAGACGAAATATGTTACACTTTAGATGTAAACAAGAAAAGTTTCCCTTCAAACCTATATGAATTATGTCTATATATGGTTGATTATATTAATTTATTAATGGCGTTATAATTATAATCACAAACAAAATAATAGAAGGTGAGGCCCGGCTGAAAGTTCCCGGGGTAAGTTTTTCCGACAGTTATAACTTTTTAAAGGATAGAGGTCACATGTGAAGTGCATCTTTTAAACATCAGATGACGCGCTGCGTTGGCGACCATCTTAGTGGCTCCAACAACGGCGGATGAAAGACTGTGTATACCTTGCTATTAGAACACCACGGGCGTAAATTGTTTTCGTATATAAATCTCTTTGGCCTATTTTTATTTATTATTGACCGATTTATGTGTAACTTTCCTATTTGAGAGTGGCATTAATTAGGTATCTTATTGTCTGAATGTTTTTTCAATTGATTTCGTTAATTTTATACAAAATCTTAAATTGGGGCTACAAGTTCCCTCCTGTAGGGGCTGGTTGTTCTCCGGAACAACTCACCTGAATTGACCTTCAATTTTGTGTGTCCCAATTGTCAGTCAAATGAACAATGTAATGATTAATTAGAATATTAGATGTCAACGTTGATAATGTTTAAAACAAGACCGATGATTTGTTTTCATTGTAATTCTACTAAAATAAATATAATTTTATCGCCTCAATTAAAATTATTTTTATTTAATATTACATCGATTACAGTACTAAATGAAAATAATATGGACGGTATAAGTTCGGTTTTGTTATTCGATTAGAATTGAAGTTGTGATCTCACTTATCATTATAATTAATAATGAAATTTTAGTCTGGAGGTTACCAGTTGTATTATTAAGTTAAAATAAGTGAAGTTATTGATCTGATAAGATTTTTAACTTAATGAATTTATATTAAATTTTAAAATAAACATTAATCTGAATTTTTTTGTTATGTTCTTTGTTTTTTTTTTAAGTTATGTTATGAAAGTGCCAATATTTTTAAGTTTTAAAAAGTTTTTATCTCGAGGAGCCTTTTCAGTTAGAATTGTTATGTCCTAAATTATTATTAATCATGTAGGTAATGAAATTCTTAAGATAATAGATCTCAATTTTAGTTACCAGTGCAAAATGTTTATCTAGATGTAACTAGTGTTGTTTTATTTGTAGTTTATAGAATTACATTAATACACACTAAATGTGACTTTAAAATGACTGTTATATTTAAAACAAACCTATATTTATTTCTATTATCCAAGCGGCACAATTTACCCAACACGTGGAACAACTCGCCCCAACGCGGGGTTGAATGTTCCCTTCCGAAATTTTGCAATAATATGCCTGTAAAAAAAACTATTCAGGTACTGGCAGAAATTACTATTATAGAGACCGCTTAAGATTCTGTAACATATTCAAGTACCAAAAATAAACCTTATAATTTCCGTCATATAACTCCATGTTATATGAAAATCGGAACTTTCAGTTCGGTCTCCCCTACCTCTGAAAAATGATACATGAACATTTATAATCTAACTTTTAATTAAGAAATCGAGGTAAGTTTATAAAAAAAAGACAGAAATAAAAAAGCCAACTTCACGCGGTGTTCCCAGGCGGTCACCCATCCAAGTACTGACCGCGCCCGATGTTGCTTAACTTCGGTTTGGCGATTAACGCGTTGAATCGGAGATATAAAATCATCACAGATTCAGTAACTTTGGCACCTATAAAATGTATGTAACAAATGAGATTTGATTTATAATATTTTTCTGGCTACTTTTATTGACTTTTTCTATAAGAAAGGGTCATAAAAGTCGAAATATGTTACACTTTAGGTTTAAACGAGAAAAGTTTCCCTTCAAACCTATATAAATTATATCTATATATAGTTGTTTACATTAATTTATTAATGCATTAATGGCGTTATAATTATAGTCACATACAAATAATAGTACTTCTAAATAATGATACATGAACATTTATAATCAAACTTCTAATTAAGAAATCGAGGTTAGTTTATAAAAAAAAAACAGAAATAAAAAAGCCAACATCACGCGGTGTTCCCAGGCGGTCACCCATCCAAGTACTGACCGCGCCCGATGTTGCTTAACTTCGGTGATCGGACGAGAACAGGTGTATTCAACATGGTATGGACGTTGGCGATAGACGTTTAAAATAAGGTGATTATATTCTTTGTATGTAAGTACTTAGGATGATTCTTAATATAAAAAAATTGAAATTTCAGAACACCATTGTATAATGCTCTATAGTCTATTCAACTTCCTCTGTGACAAAATGTAAACAAAAAAACCAATGTTTCTCAAACTTTTTTATTAATGTTGGTATGTAAATAAAATTTGTTAATGGGACAAATTATTGTGTGGTAGGTATGCAACACAATAAGTCTATTTCTTTTTCAAATAAAACTAGCAATTGTAAGAGTAAAATAATTTTATTCAGAATCTTCCCCGTCTTCTTCGCACCAACTTCTATCACAAAATGGTCAACCAAATCATCATGATACCATCAATTTTTAAAATTTTTTGTTCTTCTTTTATGACACGGTCAATGCACTTTAGCCAATCTCCTACTGTTACCCTTTTTAGAGCATCGGTTAATAAAGATTTTATTTCATTTAACTTAAAACTTAACAATAACAGAAAACAACAAACTTAACAAATGCAATAAACAAATAACAAGAATTTAACGAAAGCATTTTGCACGAGTCAACGAGTTGATCGAGAGTAATAATGGCCGGTATAACCCGACTAATTACAAAATTTCACGTTTCTACGTAAAGTATTTGTCTTATCACTACTCCTCAATTTAGTAGTATTATAATACGTCCAATGTTTGGGAACAGCTTTAATTTTAGGTGATTTTAATGTCGCTTTCTTTTTTCATTAATTCTAAATGCATTTATATTTTGACATATTAAAGGACTTTTTTCCAGTTTTACATTTTATCTCAGAGGAAGCTGAACAGACTATAGGTAGAGCGCAAAATGTAATAACGTCTGTTTTTTTTCCTAATTTTTTTTTTGGTCGTCGCTACAGTTCCGTTCAGTTTATTTATTTATTCTATTTTTCGAAGTTCGTCTGCATATAATTATCGAACTATAATTAGGTCAATAGTAGCTCAGTGAATCATAAAAAAAAGACAGAAATAAAAAAGCCAACATCACGCGGTGTTCCCAGGCGGTCACCCATCCAAGTACTGACCGCGCCCGATGTTGCTTAACTTCGGTGATCGGACGAGAACCGGTGTATTCAACATGGTATGGACGTTGGCGATTGACGCGTTGAATCAGAGAAATAAAATCATCACAGATTCAGTTACTTTGGCTGGTAATAGATGGCATTAGTGTCGTAACATGTATTTTTAATTATAAACATAAACGTCCATATTGATTTAAAACTAGATATTTTGCGCTTTCAATACCTATAAAATGTAGTAACAAATGGATTTGATTTAGAATATTTTTCTGGCTACTTTATTTACTTTTCTATAAGAAAGGGTCATAAAAGTCGAAATATGTTACACTTTAGGTTTAAACAAGAAAAGTTTCCCTTCAAACCTATATAAATTATATCTATATATAGTTGATTACATTAATTTATTAATGGCGTTATAATTATAATCACAAACAAAATAATAGTACCTCTAAATAATGATACATGAACATTTATAATCAAACTTCTAATTAAGAAATCGAGGTTAGTTTATAAAAAAAAGACAGAAATAAAAAAGCCAACATCACGCGGTGTTCCCAGGCGGTCACCCATCCAAGTACTGACCGCGCCCGATGTTGCTTAACTTCGGTGATCGGACGAGAACCGGTGTATTCAACATGGTATGGACGTTGGCGATTAACGCGTTGAATCGGAGAAATAAAATCATCACAGATTCAGTAACTTTGGCTGGTAATAGATGGCATTAGTGTCGTGACATGTATTTTTAATTACATATAAACGTAAACGTTCATATTTATTTAAAACTAGATATTTTGCGCTTTCAATACCTATAAAATGTAGTAACAAATGGATTTGATTTAGAATATTTTTCTGGCTACTTTATTTACTTTTCTATAAGAAAGGGTCATAAAAGTCGAAATATGTTACACTTTAGGTGTAAACAAGAAAAGTTTCCCTTCAAACCTATATGAATTATGTCTATATATAGTTGATTACATTTATTTATTAATGGCGTCATAATTATAATCACAAACAAATAATAGTACCTCTAAATAATGATAATGAACATTTATAATCAAACTTCTAATTAAGAAATCGAGGTTAGTTTATAAAAAAAAAACAGAAATAAAAAAGCCAACATCACGCGGTGTTCCCAGGCGGTCACCCATCCAAGTACTGACCGCGCCCGATGTTGCTTAACTTCGGTGATCGGACGAGAACCGGTGTATTCAACATGGTATGGACGTTGGCGATTAACGCGTTGAATCGGAGATATAAAATCATCACAGATTCAGTAACTTTGGCTGGTAATAGATGGCATTAGTGTCGTGACATGTATTTTTAATTACATATAAACATAAACGTCCATATTTATTTAAAACTAGATGTTTTGCGCTTTCAATACCTATAAAATGTAGTAACAAATGGATTTGATTTAGAATATTTTTCTGGCTACTTTATTTACTTTTCTATAAGAAAGGGTCATAAAAGTCGAAATATGTTACACTTTAGGTTTAAACAAGAAAAGTTTCCCTTCAAACCTATATAAATTATATCTATATATAGTTGATTACATTAATTTATTAATGGCGTTATAATTATAATCACAAACAAAATAATAGTACCTCTAAATAATGATACATGAACATTTATAATCAAACTTCTAATTAAGAAATCGAGGTTAGTTTATAAAAAAAAGACAGAAATAAAAAAGCCAACATCACGCGGTGTTCCCAGGCGGTCACCCATCCAAGTACTGACCGCGCCCGATGTTGCTTAACTTCGGTGATCGGACGAGAACCGGTGTATTCAACATGGTATGGACGTTGGCGATGAATATCCTAAATTAGATGATCATATTCATTGTATGTAAGTACTTAGGATGGTCCTTAATATCCAAAATTTGAAATTTTATAGTGTTCTATGGCACAAAACGTAATGACGTGTGATTTTTTTTTTTTATTTTTATGGTCGCTACCGAATTCTAAAATTTTATTTTTTTTCTTAGTTCCTCTGATATTCCAAATACATATAATTATTAACCTATAATTAGGTCTGGAGTAGTTAAATGGCGTGGTGGATAAACACTCCGGCCCGCTATCGTTGTTGTTATGTTAATTTGTCATGGGTCGGTAACAGGATGGGTGACAAAAAAAAATATAATCTCAAGCTACTCCGTGCTTTAGAAATCACAATAAGCCGTTGGCCTTAGCTTCAGAAGTTAATACCCTCTAATCAGCATTGAAAACGATGAAATTCGCATAATATTGCTAGTGTAAATAAAATATGCTTTTTTTTTATATGAAACTTTATAAATTTATAATATGGTATACTTATGAAATAATTACTGAATAATGAAAGTGCTAGTAAAATCTCTATCATAAATTTTTATTACATTACGATTAAACATCGCATTTTTTTATATTTGTTGTTACCTCATTTCCTCAAAAGCAATTTGACTTGTGTGACTGTTTGTTTGATTTTTTTGTGAATTTGACTTCCAAATATGTGCTAGTACAATGATTGAATGTATGTTTGTTTGTTTACCTTTATGTTATCTCACTAAAAGGACTCTGTATAGATATTATTATTTTTATTTGATTAATTAGCTTCAAGTTTCATTTTCGTCAAAATCGTTTCAACCATTTTGAAGATATGATCTATTAATTAGCCCTCGATACACATGCTATGTGCTATTAGTAGCCCGTGTATTACCGACTTTAAAGAAACTCGCCAATCTGGTTTGCAAGCTATAATGTACCACACTTTCTGTACTAACTTCTTAAAAAAAGAGATAAAACACTCACTTATTATTCCCCTCCGGTAAGGACATAGATCGTCCAGTTTTCCTATTAGCTTCATATATCCAACGTTCATGTATCGCTACCAACGGCTTCACGTTTACACCAGCTAGTATCTCGTCCTCTACTTTGTACTTGTTGCAGTTTCGCTCCGCAGAAGATTTGAAAGACCAAGAGTTGCTTCTTTCGCGAATCGCGCCCTCTGTATCCGGTGAAGAGGTTTGACCCGGCTCGTCTCTGTATTATACAAGTACGACGATAGATGGCACTTTTATAAATAAAAAATATTACAGCAATGGCATTAAACTATATTTATTTTTACTGGAAGGAATTCTATAAATATCCATGCCAGATTTTAATGGAATCCTTTTTATATATTTTTTATTTTCATTAATAATAAGTACCTAGTTGCTTTATAACTGCTAACAAAAATGTTTTTTATACTCACATCGACACTAGGTAGGTATATCAATCTCGATCCGTGTAAAGTGTTGAATAATCAAAATTTCCTGAGTTCATTATGCTGGGTGTACCAACAAATTTTTGCTTATTTTATATAGTAACTTACCGCCTTGTTGGAAAGCTGTATTGAGTAACCACTGTATCTGGCGAGGCATCTTGAACACCGAGACATTGATAGGAGACGCTGCCACCACCTGGACTCTTCTCCAAACTATTATTCGTTGACGCCGCTGGAGTATTTAGGCTCGTTGATATGATTTCGCCAACTGCCATAAAAGATATAGACAAAATAAAAAAACAAAAATTAAAATTATTACTAATAAAAAAGCCAACATCACGCGGTGTTCCCAGGCGGTCACCCATCCAAGTACTGACCGCGCCCGATGTTGCTTAACTTCGGTGATCGGACGAGAACCGGTGTATTCAACATGGTATGGACGTTGGCGACAAAAGTGTTAAATTAGATGATTATATTCATTGCAAGTACGTAGGCACAAAATGTAGACGTATGATTTTTATTTTTGAACTACTTTTTGCGGTCACTATTGAATTTCAAAGTTATTTCTTATTATTTAAAAATTCGTCTGATAATCAGTTGATTTTGAACTGTATCCTAAAAGCATCAAGATTTAAAATTATTAAGAGAAATTGGAGGGTTTTGTATAGCCTAATGCGCTGTTGTCTGTACATACTAACAATGAAGAATATTAATATTATTATTGTAAAATTCTGCTGCGAGTATGCAGTAATAACCAAACCTTAAAGAACTCAGAACCTTCTTATCTAGATGATATATTTTTAATGAGATTACGTACTTCATATTTTATCTAATTAATAATGCATTAGTACTACATATGTATTAGGATCAAAGCATTTAATGAATCATTAATTTATAAAATAAGTGTTAAAAATGACAAAAAATCAAAGCCGAATACCATTTTAACATTTCAAATTATTGTTTTTAAGTAACTTAAAAAATGTTATTCCTTTTCTTTTTACTTATTACAGAGTAGATTTTCAAACATTCTTACTTTTCATATATAATATTAGACGAAACTCAGTTATTTTTACATATTTTTCAAAAGAAATTCACCACTAAGGAAGGATAGAACAGAAAGAGTGATGTCAATATGGAACCGAAAAAGACGGCTTATGTTGGACTCTCCTCTACGCATTCATCAGGCTACAAAAGTTCACCTGATTGATGCGCAGAGGTCTACCAACTAAATACCCCATGTTTCTGCAGTGCCGGCAATAGGCGTTTCTACGAGACCGACTTGCACGCCCACAGTAAGGCGGGTCTGATTCTAAGAGGGATAATGACTGTCCACCTCAGATGTTACAAGGCAAAGAACCGGAACATGTAGTATATCACCTAGTTTCAGGACCCTGCTAAGTCTCTGTTTAATAATATGAATTTTGACTAATACTAAGTGCAGTCTCAACATTAATTTACTTCAACGTTAAACCTTGTTTATTAATAATACTGGTAAAGAATATGTTTGGCATGTATTTAACGCGGCGACAAATCGATACTATTCCGGGTCTTAAAAAAACTGAAAATGGATAGTAAATAAACTACTTTGGTAACTAATTTGAGGTAGCATCTTAACTAGAAAGCGGCGGCTTTTTGATGAATTTTGAGGTTTTATTTAAATTTTATCTGGCAGTGATTTTCTTTTGTGGCAATTGAATTTCTTCTAAGGCGACAAATTATTGGCGGATAAAAAAGTTAACATAGGCTTTCATAAATTCTAAAATGAGGTTGTCTATAAACTTGACCAAGGTCTGAAATAAATACAAACAAGATCTTAAAAAAAATACTTTTGGCTACATTTGTAGGGATCTAAATAAACCAAATTGTGACATGCTAAAAAACTATTCTTGCTCTATTTATTTTTTTCTTGACTATCTTTTTTATTATTAATCTTCCCTCTTTTAAATGAACTTTAAATGAACCTACCTACTTTGAGTAACTAGGTACTCGAACATAAGTATTTTTGTAAATCTAGGTAGGTACTCAAAGAACGTAGGTTCATTTATTCTAGTGCTGTATTTCAGCTTTAAACTCCTTTTTTATTAATTTAAATAGCGTACAATAAAAGGCATAAAATTTGATTCATTGTCTTTTTTTATTAATTTTCCTTCAATACACAAAATATGTAATTTACTTAATAGACATAAAACGAAAAAAGTTTTAAAGAAGTATAAAAAATCTACCTATTGCATTATTAATGCAGGCTTTGACTTGGTAGGGCGTCCTCTCTTTCTTTTTAATCCGATCGGTATTGACTTTGCCTCGATAGGCGGGGTGGTAAGTTTTAGTCGGATTTTTAGTCCCAGTACACAGTATAAGTATGACACAGTATAGAAACTAAGCCTATTTGAAAAAATAAATACCTACGCTCCATTGAAACCATAGGATGTCACTTTTAATGTTTTAGACATTGCATTATACTGAAATGGGTATTTAAAAAAAAACAGCAATAAAAACAATAACAAACGATAGCGAGCCCCGTGACGCTCAACCCCCTGCTCCACAGCCCCCGCATTGCTCAAACACACGAGCGCATTTGCCGCAAATTTTCAAGAATATACGAATCTGCAAACAATATTCTAATATCCAAATACATTATTATAATACCTTTTTTTAGTTTTAAAGCTACCTAACAATCGCTGCCAGATGTGTATTTTTATAATGAAATCCAATAGTTGCCAGTGAAAAATGTTTGATATCCCCTCGGAAAAATTAGTCGCCACATTAGGTTTTATAATACCTTAACCAGTTTTACACTGATCCTGCTTGATATATTTGATACCTTACAGTAGCAGCCGTTTTTTAGTTTTTTGATCCTAGCATTTTGTTGCTTGTATAGTTTAATAGTTGCTAAGATATTTAATCACTGCTAAGTTAGTTTTTTTTTGTCTTAATAGAAAGTTGCCTAAAAAGGATTTCAGTTACCGTGTTAAATATTTGCCAATATGTTTTTGTTTATTATTATGTATAAAATGAAGAAAACATCCATATCATATGGGAATTGAACCTAGCTCAACAACCAGTTAGTCTAGGTAGTAGATTATTCATTCAAAAATGTTTTTTAATGTCAGAAAACTTAAATTCAATTTTAACTTATTTTAGAATTAAATAAGTTAAAATTGAATTTAAGTTTTCTGACTGAAAAATATCAATTTAAATTTATTTTTACTTTAGGAAACTTGGGAAGTTAAAATGTTGTGTGTTATAAATTATAATAGTATACTATTTAAATAATTACAGACTTACTTTCTTTATTGCTTGTGTTCGAATCTTCCAAAACTTCCGTGCTTCGTCTCGTCAAACTGATGTCACCAGACAGCCAAGCGTTTTTCCTTAATTTGTTACTGCGAGCGATAGGTGTAGTCGGTAAACTGTAATTCTTAATATCAAAATTGTAAGACGACCTCTCGGAGCCATTCTGTTCTTTCAATATAGACTTTATAGAGTCCAAATTGCATTCTGGTACTTTAATATGCAACGGCTTATAAGACTTTGGTGTAAAACTCCTGCTCAATTTCGCTGTTGGTCTCTCGACATTATTCTGATCCTTAGCTGAATTATCGTTAAGAGCATAATGATTTGTGCGATTGGGACTAAGAATGCTACAGTATTCTGTGGAATCGCTTCTGTGCAAGCCGCCTGGGGTTCCAATGTCTTTGATTCTCGCTTTGATTTTTGCTATTGGGGTTGAGCAGGCACTGGAAAAGTCTTTCTCAGGTAAGTGATCATACTTCATGTATGGCCTTTTTTGATCAGTAGTGTCTTCGTCGTCAACAAAACTCTTTTCTGGGACGGCGTAGACGGCGTCTGGTGAGGACTTATTTATGACTTCATAGAGGGGGCTAGCGTCACTTTTGCTGCATTCTTTCTCGCTGTCGGCTGAGCTGGCTTCGTTATGTACTACGGCTCTATGTCTGAGCTCTTGCGGTGAACTGAGGCACTCAGAGTCCGTGGGCGAGGTAGTGTCCCACGGTGAACTGAAGTTAGACTTCTTCTTGGATAGCCTCGCCGGTATAACGATGTATTCCATCTCATCTATGTTACACTGAAATCAAAATATAAGCCAACAATAAGAGACGAGTGTTAAAATCATTACGTAACATAGAACTTCAACTAACTATTATAATTCAGATAAAATTGTAATATTTATGTATTATAAAAAATATGTATTTATTTTTCTTTTTCTGAATTAACAATAATAAAATAAGTTATTATAATATTCTTTATAATAAATAGTAATATAAATGTTTTATTGTTTCCTCATTTAAAAGCTAAAATCATCATGTAAGTTAAAAAACTATCGTGTGTTAATTATATGATATACGTTTATTATACCATATAAATAGTATTAGATTTATATATATTTTTAGTTTTAGTTTTAAGTTTTAATTTTACAAAGTATAAAAAGTTTGTTGTAGACATAAATTTTAAAAATAATTGAGTAAACGGTTAGTCTATTAATACTCGAAGTAACAAAAAGCCAACATCACGCGGTGTTCCCAGGCGGTCACCCATCCAAGTACTGACCGCGCCCGATGTTGCTTAACTTCGGTGATCGGACGAGAACCGGTGTATTCAACATGGTATGGACGTTGACGATTGACGCGTTGAATCGGAGAAATAAAATCATCACAGATTCAGTTACTTTGGCTGGTAATAGATGGCATTAGTGTCGTAACATGCATTTTTTATTACATAAAAACATAAACGTCCATATTTATTTAAAACTAGATGTTTTGCGCTTTAAATACCTATAAAATGTAGTAACAAATGGATTTGATTTATAATATTTTTCTGGCTACTTTATTTACTTTTCTATAAGAAAGGGTCATAAAAGTCGAAATATGTTACACTTTAGGTTTAAACGAGAAAAGTTTCCATCCAAACTTATATACAGTTGATAACATTAATTTATTATTAGCGTTATAATGATAGTCACAAACAAAATAATAGTACTTTTTATTAATGATACATAAACATTTATAATCAAACTTCTAATTAAGAAATCGAAGTTAGTTTATAAAAAAAAAACAGAAATTAAAAAGGCAACTTATTAATGATACATGAACATTTATAATCAAACTTCTAATTAAGAAATCGAAGTGAGTTTATAAAAAAAAAACAGAAATTAAAAAGCCAACATCACGCGGTGTTCCCAGGCGGTCACCCATCCAAGTACTGACCGCGCCCGATGTTGCTTAACTTCGGTGATCGGACGAGAACCGGTGTATTCAACATGGTATGGACGTTGGCGATTACATCAGTATAATAGCGAAAGGTTTTTAACTAGGTATGTGTATAGTTACAAAACTACAACGTGTAACAGAAATAACACATCCTCATACACCCCAATTAGAAAATGAATTTAATCATAAAACGAATATTAGAAATTTTCTTTCACGTCAAAATTACTACTTAGCCTGCAACTAAAATGTTATGTTGTTACGCACTTAAAAGAAAAAGTCAATCTCGTTCTACAAAAGATGTTACAGTCAAGGAAAAAAATATTTTATTTTACTTTCACACCCTACCCACACCCCATTGTTACCTTGACGGTGTGCAGTGTACGCTGCATCTCGTTGACGTGCATGCGCTGGTGGCGCTGCAGCTGCAGGGCCTGCTGCAGCAGCGCCAGCAGACTGCCGGGGTAGCTGCCGTCCGTCGGCAACCGAAGCCCGGTGCTCCACAGCACGTACAACTCCTTCAGTTTCTCGTACGACAACGACTTCCATGGCACGGCCGCTGGATAATTTCGTTAAAGTCAATACAGCATGTTATTCGATAAAGTCTTTCTCAGTTTGATTTTAAATCTTAACCCAAATGCGGGTAGCGTTCAAAGTTTACTGCTGGAAGACACGTTATTTCATTAAAAGTTGTACGCAAATGTAATCTCTATATATATAAAATTCTCGTGTCACAATTTTCGTTCTCGTACTCCTCCGATACGACTTGACCGATTCTCATGAAATTTTGTGAGCATATTGAGTAGGTCTGAAAATCGGTCAACATCTATTTTCCATACCCCTTAGTGATAAGGGTTGCGGGAAAACAACTTCCACGCGGACGAAATCGCGGGCGGCCACTAGTATTTATATATCTTTTTCAGAAAAAAAAAACATATTATACGGTTTTAATAATGAAATTATTTATATTCCTGAGCATTTAGCTGCCATAAGACTTTAAAAATGAAATAGACTCAAAAACAAAAAAAAAAAAAACACATATGGATATTGAATTCAAATAGTCTTTGACGATATTTGCAACACGCTTTCAGAGCGCTTAGTGTAAGTTTTTTAACGTTAACGTTCACTGTTGATCGTGAGCGCGTTAAGATTTTAGTATGGAATCCAGTACAGCGCCCCTAGCGGTAACTACCAAGAACTACAAATCTCCATACAAATTCTTAACGCGTTAGCGTAAAACTTACAATTACCACTGATAATTCTATGTCAAACGTCATAAGGATACATTAAAAAAGTTTATATTATTCAAATCAGTAAGGTTAGATAAGAAATAATTTGTATGGTGGTTAAATATTCTTAAATTTAAAAAAAATCCACAATATTTTTTCTATTATTTTCTTTTATAAGAACCTTCTCCTGACATAACAAACTTAACAAAAAAGAATTACCGAAATCAATATTCATTTCTATTTAAAGAGATAAAGATAACTTGAAATGCAGAAGACTACTTCTAGTCGGATTTTATTTTTTAGTTCAATTCTTATTATGTATTGAAATATAAACAAATTGGAGATTTAGAAAAAAAATTAAAAACAAAACAGCCAACGTCACGCGGTGTTCCCAGGCACCCATCCAAGTATTGACCGCGCCCGACGTTGCTTAACTTCGGTGATCGGACGAGAATCGGTATATTCAACGTGGTATGGACATTGGCAAGTAACGTATCATAATAGCGAATTACATCTCTACGTACTTTATGAAAAGAGGATGAATCTTATTTATCAAGATGAGATTTTTTTATTTTAAATTCACTTTTAGAATTATTTATGGTCATACATAAAGTAAAACTCAATGGAACAATGGTTAAAGCGCTCGGTCAGTGATTCGGCTGTTAAGCAACTTTCGCAATGACCGGTGATATGATGGGTGACCAAAAATTTACTACCTCGAGCTCCTCCGTACTTCAGAAGGCATGTTAAGCTGTTGGTTCCAGCTGCATCTGCGGTCGTTAATACCCACCCATCTCAAGTATGCCCTTGTGGCGGGTCATGGCCCAACCCTCCTATTCGATTCAATTCCATGCACAGGAAAGGCTCGAGTCGCAGCAGTGGAGACATTAATACGAGGGTCAAACTGAAAGTTCTTAGAACTGGCCACTTATAAACAATATAATAAAAAAATAATTCTAAAATTTGAAAATATAACTCTTTGCCAATATTACTGAGTATATATTTCATTCATTTGTCATTTGTTTTACGATTTGGCGGCAAATTGAAAATTGTCTGTGTCACGTCATCATGAATTTAACACGAGAAAATTTTCGTGCAATGATTTTTTATGACTTTCGATGTCATTTAAGTCAACAAGAAAGTTATGATAGACTACGATTGGCCTTTCACGATGAAGCCCCATCTCGTGCGACTGTTTACAACTGGTTTAATGAGTTTAAACGTGGTCGCACTAATCTCACTGATGATTTACGTGAGGGACGGCCTTCTACGGCGACGACTGAAGATAACATCTGTGTTGTGCGGCGTATGATAGAGACTGACAAAAGAGTGACCTATCAACAGATTCGGACAAGCTTAGGCATCGGTATGAGTCAAGTGCACAAAATCCTCCACGAACATTTAGCGGTCAGGAAGCTTTGCGCCCGGTGGATACCTCATAATTTGACTGAGGCTCAAAAACTCCATCGTGTGGATTGGTGTCGTAAAATGATTGAAAGATTTAACGGAGGTGACTCAAATGCTGTGTTCGACATACTAACAGGTGACGAAAGCTGGATTTACTGTTATGATCCTAAAACCAAAAGACAATCTGCTCAGTGGGTGTTTCCTTTCGAGGAGTTGCCAACTAAAGTGAAGAGAGATCGAAGTGCGGGAAAAAAAATGGTGGCCTCGTTCTTTGGAAGGATAGGTCATTTTGCAACAATTGTGTTAGAGGATCAAAAAACAGTTTCTGCAGAATGGTACACTACCAATTGTTTGCCACTTGTCTTGGAAAAAGTTCGAGAGAAACGACCTCGCAGTAGGATCCTCCTTCACCACGACAACGCCTCGTCGCACACCGCCAAGCGAACGATCGACTATTTGGCGACATCAAACGTTGAATTACTGGGTCACCCGCCGTATAGCCCCGACCTCGCGCCTTGTGATTTTTATTTATTTCCAAAAATTAAAGAAAAACTTAAAGGAAAGCGGTTTATGAATGCTGAAGAAGCGGTGGCTGCGTATCGCGATGCCATTGAAGAGACCCCTAAGGACGAGTGGGCAAAGTGCTTTTCCCAGTGGTTCCATCGCATGCAGCGGTGTATTGACGTGAATGGACAATATTTTGAAAAGATATAATAAAACTAATAACTGGCTAATGTAATCAGTTTTTGATTTTCTAAGAACTTTCAGTTTGACCCTCGTACACTGGTGATGATGCATAAAGTTTATTTACGTACCATTACAACATTCCCAGAGTATCAGTGCCAGAGAGTAGACGTCAGACTTGGAGCATGCTTGCACGAAGCCCTCATCGTCGGGCTGGAACAGTTCAGGCGCTTGCCAGCGGTAGTGAGGAGACTTCCTCACCACCTCATAGTCAATAGAGACAGCGTTTGCCTGGAGGTACGCCTCTGACGAACGATTGGACAGTAACGGCTCGCTTTCCGTTGTGTTCGATTGACGAGTATCTGTTTTGTATCATTTTAAAATATAGTTTTATTGAAGTAGTTAAGTTATTATTTTGTCTTTTTAGAGCGATATATTAACTATAAGATATATCATGAGATCGGGGTACTCCTCGATCCACTGGTAACTAATGGTACTGCTGACTGTATCAATGAATTTATACTAAATTAATTCAATGCTTCTGGCACAAGTTTATCAAACACTAAAGAGAGTTATTACAATCCAAGGTGTGATTTACGACAAAAACATGGACAAACAAACACACACACACATGCATACACGAACGAACGTTCATGAAATGGCCGGCCGCATCATGAATTGGTCAGTTCTACAATCTGGCTACGATATATCTATTGAAAAACATCGTTAACTTATTTTATGGTATTATTTAGTAAGAATTTACTACATTGTTTAATTCAAAGAAACAAGAATTATAAGAACAAAATAACATCATTAACAATTTCGATCGGAAAAGGATAGCAGCATTAGGCTTGTTTAATGTCATAGCGTATGGAACTAAGAAAAGTCGAAACACAAAATATCCCTTATTTTTTAATGAAAAAGAAAACTTCTGGCTCCTTTTAGGGTTCCATACCGAAAGGGTAAAACGGGACTTAGACTCCGCTATCCGTCCGTAGGTCTGTCACCAGACTTTATCTCATAACTGTGATGGTTAGAAATTGTTGAAATGTTCACAGATGATTTATTTCTTTTTGCGGAAATATAAAAAAAAAACAGAATAAAATAAACATTAAAGGAGGCTCCCATACAACAAAGATGATTTTTGCGTGCGTGTCTCACTTAGCCTGCTTTAATTATTACTTTAAAATATTTCTAATTAAATTCAAAGACATAGATAGAAACTTCCTAAGGCATTATATTCAAGTTTGTAGTTCTATAGCTAACCTTCGATGTTAACGTATTGCGGCTCTGGCGAGTACAGTTCGTACCCCTTGTCCGGGTGGGCGGTAGACCGCGCCAGTCGTCGGCAAGTGGACAAGTCGGCCAGTTTTGCAGCGTCCCGATTCGTCACCATAATCCCTTCGCTACTGAGCCCCGAGTGTATGTACCCTTGCATGCGGAGGAATACAAGGGCATTCGCTATGTCCAACGCGTACTGGACGGACGTTTGCGCCGTTAAGATTCGACCCTGTCAGATAAATTAAATATTTTGTAAACTAACCAGTCAGTCTGTTTATATTCTTATTGATAAAATCAGTTTATCTTATAATTGTCGTCACAACTGGTTGCCGTGTGTACATAATGGATAACAAGTATAAGCTCAACAGGTTACCACGATGTCTAATTTTCAGAATTTATTTTAAACTCTACTCTCGATGAATTAAGCTTTAAAACGTGAAATGTACATAATAATTTATTAAATATGTTTATTTCTGGTGGTACGATTATGTGGAGATGGTTGATTGCAAGAATAGACTGTAGCCACTAAAAAGTGCCACAAGATATTCATGGAGCGAAAATAACTTATTGAATTTATTTTTAACACACGGACGAAATCGCGTATTTAAAATACAATGATGTGAAAAAAAGATATTATGTTATTTAAAAATATTACCTTACCTATATCCAAGCTGATGCTGAATGCAGCTGAGATTATGTTGATATTCTTATTAGAATATTAATAAATAATAAAGAAATAAATAAAACCAGGTGCTCGAGAGGGGAGTAGAACATCTGACGTCTCGCTCACCAAGTAAAATAACTAGTAACTATTTTTTTTATCAGGGCACAAACCTACCCTATTGATATAATCACACAGGGAGAACGGCAGGTCATACAACCCCAAGCAGGCCTCGTGTTGTCTGGTGTATATTAACGACTACAGATACAACAGGAACCAACAGCTTAAGCTAGAAGCTCGAGATAGTGAATTTTTAGTCGCCTTTCTCATGACCTCTTCCATATAGCATCAGACTACTTATGAATCATCACCTGTATATGTAGAATTCCGTATAAGGAATCAGTGCATCTCTCGCAGACTATGTTGACGCCATCATGGACATCGGGGTACAGGCCCATCAAGAGGATTATGTTGGGATGGCGACATTTTCTGTAACAATTTTTCCCCAATTGGAACAACTTTAAGGCTAAACGCATATCCTCATGGACTGAACCGATAGGCATCGAAACTGAAAATGTATTTTTTTTTCCGAATTATTTGTATAATAACATATGAACATTATCATAAATTTGATAGAAAAACTAACTGATATGTGAATATTTGGAATTTGTGAAAATTCGGTGGGAAACTACAAACTGACAGTGCTGTCTGCTGGCAGTTCTCACGTTAGCAGAATGGTTGTAGAACAATTTTATCTTCTATGGCGACGGATCATCCGGAGAGTTTGCATGGTTGAATGTTACGCGAACGACGATAAACGACGCTCTATTCGTCAAAAACAACATATAAAATATAGACTACTTGCATTGTAAACCTGTGTCCAGTTTACGCCATTTAACTACTTTAAAAAAATTATTTCTTAACACACGTACAATTGCAAAAAGCGTCTGAAAATAGGATTTACGTTATTCAAGTTAAGCTCAAGTAAGGGTCAAGTAACGATTATAATCGCTGACAACTAACGACACTTTATTTTACAATATTCGTTAGAATCTAGTTACTAAAATACTAGCGAACATAAAACTGAGATAATTCAAGCATTGAACTATAAGTTTTGCTTAGATAATAAATAGGGATGCATCAAGTATTATGTCTTGTATTAATTATATAAAAGCAAAATCATTAGAAGAGATTGCTTTAAAAATAATCTATACGCATAATAAATTGTAGTTAGCACACGCTTTTAAATGGGGTTTGTACTTTTTTGGTTGTTACTGTTATATCGTTCGGCGCTTATGACTTATGACTTATACTTACTGTAGAGGCAGGGATGTCATAATTTCTTATTTGGAAGTAATTTAATTATTATAACATTTCTTAGGCGGGCAAGATGGGATAAAGAACGTAAGCTTCGCTAGCCGAGAGATTATATAACTAGAATTAATTATCTCTGTATTTACTATTTATTGGTATGATAAAAATATCACACAGGAAATCATCATCTCATTAGTAGACAAAAAGCGTATCAACCGAATCGCAAAAATATACCGTTTAGTACTCAGCAAATCGCACCTGAGTATGTTTATTTCCGTGTTCCGCTTTTTCCTGACGTGATCGATGGTGACTCCGGGCAGCCTCTTTATCTGCACGGGCACCACACCCCACTTCCCGTGGTTCCACAGCTTGCTTCTATCCGCCGTCACATCTATGTTACTTGCACTTGCTATAGGTAAGCCGTATGCGCTTGTGTCACTCTAGAAATAATGCTTACTTTATAATGTAAATTGGACATCTCGATATATATCTAGATGTGGGTGTCCATCATGCACCACCACCAATCAGTGAATGGTTATCTCTTAGGCAAATTAGGCACGTGCCTAGAGATGAGACATTACGTTTACAAAAAACTACTGAAATTACCGTGTCACCAGATTCCTGTAAGAATAATAGGTATTAACACTCAAATATTTTATTGCAACTGTTGAACCTAGATATTAAATAGAAAACCAGAGAGTGAGAGAGAGAGAGCTATTATAAAAGTCAGGTATTTTTATGGACGAAAAAAAATTTGCTAAATCATACTAGACCTCATCCTATATTACAAACAATTTGAAAGTATAAAGATAAAAATATGTTACCATGTAAAGCGTGTTAAGGTCAATTGAATAATTTGTATTAATGACAACATAACATTGCTGTTTCTCTTGCAGTTTGTGTATAGGTACGCATGTCGAAATATAATCACGATTTCAAACCAAGTTAAAAAATATTAGATTTTGAAGGATTCGGTACGGTTCAGGCGCGGTAAATAAAAAGCGCGCAATTTAGTGACATAATAACGTCGGGCTAGAAGAAAGTTTGGAAATGTCGTAACAATCGTCTACACAAAAATAGATCCTTTAAAAAGACAACGTTCATCGGAGACATGATAAGTTTAAACTAAATTACTTTTTGAACTTGAGTTCTTATATAACAAAAACTTGTGTTAAACGGTATTCATTAGATAGAAACAGGACTTACAGCCAGTTGTACAAAAGTCCATTAAATTTTTCATTAGTTTCAAGCGACATTACCCTTACAAATTTGACATTCATGACAGCTTAAAAGCTTCATTAAACTCTAATGGACGTTTGTGCAACTGACCGTTAATATTTCTTGGATAATACATTGGTTTTATTATCAGTCTACTCGTAGCTACACAAGTGCTCTACTAGTTGACGTCACCTGAGATCTTAGCGACTCGAATCTGTACAAGTATATAGTAAAATTGAATAGCCAGTTAATGTCATATTATTAAAAAAATGTACTTACTTTTGTGTCATCTGACTTCGTCGTCGGTGACCGCGTGTGAAGCAATTGCTCGTCAGCCCAACGGTCGAAATTTTTCAATTCGCTCATCACCTCCATTAATTTATCTTCACCGCTATCGTTTTTGCCGTTTCCGTTGGACGAATTCTGACTAGATATGTTCATGTCGCACACATGTTTAGCGCCGTCCACTTCTTCTTTGCTATTATGACCGTCTAAGAAATTCTTGACGTCAAAAGGTAACGAATTCTTCTTGTGAAACTCTGGCGATTTTATATGATCGTCCTCTTTGAAGTCTATATGCCTTTGAGTTAGGAAGTCAGAATCTGGTGGCCGGTTAAAATATCTGTGACGATTCTGACGTTTACATTTCTGTGGTTCCGAGTAAGTAGACGTCGCCAGCATATTGCCAGGCATGAACACCTGATTTTGAAATAAAAACTGTATGTTTGGGACAGCGTCATACATTTTTTCGTCAGACATGGCGGTTCTGGCGCGTCTGTGCGACTTCTTTTTATATTTGGCACCTGATTTCTTTTCGTAATTGAATGTGTTATCGTGGTCCACGGTGCAGTCTGTGCAGGACACGGGTAGGGAATGTCGGCCACATTTTTTCTTCACTGGTGTTAGTTGCAAGTCTTTGCTACCCGTCGATCTTCTCGCTTGGAACTCGGCTAAATCCCTCTTATACTCTTCAGTTCTTATAGTGCCAACCTGATTGTGACCTTGTACAGCATGTGTTGAACTCTGTTCGCATTGTTCTTCTGGTGTGCTCGGTTCGGGACTCACGTGACGTGTGGTCACTGTGACACGTTCCCTAAAATATAAAATCATTAAATTTCAATACTATCTTTAATTTCACAGAAATGAATTCTTGCGATGACTCAGATTTAAGTACCTATTAAAATTAAAAAAAAATCGGATTAGGTATCACGACCCCGAATCTGTGACTGATAAATTACACGTGGAAATGTCATAGATCAAAATAAAACGTGAACGCTATTGTGCAACCAATTTATTGGTGGAATCAAACCTATTCTGGAAACGTTGAACTAAAAATGAAGCATATAAAATAATATGTTTAAAACACAAGTCGGTTTTGGCTTTGTAAAACTACTAGCTTTCTGCCAGCGGCTTCGCCTGCGTGATCTTGTATTATACATAAAAACCTACCTTTTGAATCACTCTATCTATAAAAAAAACCGCATCAAATTCTGTTGCGTAGTTTTAAAGATTTAAGCATACATAAGGAATATAGGGATAGAGAAAGCGACTTTGTTTTATAATATGTAGTGATACGAGGAAATCGGCTAAATGAGATTCGTGAACTGAGGATTCTATCGAGTAATTAACGATGTTCAATAAAACTATGGAAGCACCAAATGTTGAACTAACTGAATACCTAATAGATAAACGATATACTGGGACAAACGTAATTATGAAATTAGAGAATAATTGTCTCCTAACAGCTCCATAGGTTGCTGGCGGTAAGTTTACCAACATATATAAAATTAATCATAAATATTTGATTACACCTCTTTATTTGTTTTGATATCTTTCAGAATTTCTTAATTCTTGACCAACGGGAAGTAGTATTAAATAACATATGCGATATAACGAATATATAACATAATTTTGATTAGAGTGAATTTCAATTATACACTACTTTGCATGGATTTACAAACAGATACATGACTCCTACAAAGTACTCAATTTATTATTCTAAGGCGAGGAAGCTTAAAAGCATAACAATCGAGGAACAAAATTAAATATTAACCGCCCATGTTCAATGTTTCTTAAAAAATTTAACCACTTTTAAGTGTGATATTTTGAGTTTTGGGGTAACAAACATCGCGCATACTTAATGCAAATTTAAGACTTATATGGTTTTCTCATAGATGCCATTGCCAGATCGGAAAGAATCATCAAAATCGGTCCCAGTAAAAAGTTATGAGGTAAAAAACTAAAAAAAAACAGTCGATTTGATAATCTCCTCTTTTTTTGAAGTCGGTTAACAAACATACAGTCCGTCCAACGGTGTTAGCTGCCGTTTTCAAAACTGACTCAAAAGATATATTATTGATAAAGTCAAAATCAGATAAGAGAGACAGATAGGTATACAATACCTATTTACAAATCCTTAGCTGTTATTATTAAAAAAAAAATCACTAACAAGAACAAAGTAAAAGGCGATTATAATCAAATGAAACGAGTGACAAGACACGACGTCGTAGATCGATACACTTTTAGCGATTAGACTATGTTCAGTGAACCTTGCCTTTAAAACAGTAAAATATAGTATTTTAAACCAACAGAATAGAAACTCTTGTGTTTAAACCCATTATTTATTTTGTTTAGTAAACCACTGATGTATGTATAGACACACACCGACATACATAGCACATAACTAATACCTTAAAACATTAAAACGAAAACAAGTTGTTTAATACTAGTCTTCGAATTTCCATGGTTGGAAATTTCACACAGCGGGCCTATCGCGTAACTTTTTTAATGAACTCCCCTGTTCATTAAAGAAAGTTAATTATATATAATAAAAGTCCATCAACAACAACTCTTTTGAAACAGTTCTTATTAGGTATTAGATCACAAAATAACAAACAGAACTGTCACAACTGATTTATGAAGACGACATTGCACTTATAATATTGAGCCTTAGATAGATAGCATATAATGATAAAATGTAAAAATATTTTCCCTATAATAAAAGGGCATAGGTAATAAGAGAAGAATTAGTTTATTATTGATTTCTTATATTTTCACGCGCACTATCCATAAACGAAAAAAACTTTTAAACGGTTTCATTGCGTTTATACCTATGTATTTACCTTTAGACCTTTCGGACCCTTTACAGGTTCCGTGTTCACGTAAGACTAAGGTGTTGGTTGTCTTTTTATCTAAAAATATAGCTACCTCCTCACAAAATAATACTACTGGGCACATTCACAAAACATTTTTTAATATATTATGGAAATGTTTACATTTAATAAATTAAATTACATTATTTTAAAAATATACTTGATTATTTACTCCTATCCAACGTAATTAGTCTTTTGGAGTCTTGTATTTGGAGTTAGTATTTGGGAGTCTTGTCTGAGAAGAACTGGCAACACACTCCACAAACAAAAGTGAATTGCTCTCTTTAACTTAATATTTACAGAATGAACTGACTCTATCTTTTGGTTAAGTAACTGCACTTTTAATTAAAAAAAGACAATCAATACCTTAGTCTTATGTGAATACGGAACCTGCAACGGGTCCGAAACGTCTAAAACTAAATACAAACGCGATGAAACCGTTTAAAAGTTGTTTCATTTATTAGTTTTTCCTATCGAAATAATTAAAAAAAAAATAGTATTTGATTCTGTTAAAGACCTCCATTATTTCCCACTCACGTGGATCCCATAACGACCGTCCTCTATTCCTGGAAGTTTATTTAAACCACCTTACACATCAAAGTTCTAATGCTTGTTAAGAGGGCGCCCGCACCCAAAATCACTAACTTTCTATTGGTTTTGTACAAAGAAGTAACGTCCAAATAAGCTGTAATTGAAAATTACAAAACAACATACTGCTAAGAGTTCTATCACAGCCAAAAAGTGCCATAAAAGGGTCATAGTTTTTTGTAAATTGGTTAAAGTATGACATGACAAAAACGGGACGGATCGCTAGTCTACCCAATATTATAAAGCGGAATGATTTGATCGTTTGTTTGCATCGATTGGACTCCGGAACCACAGGACCGATTTTATTAATTCTTTCACCTACATCATATCCAGGTGATTATAGGCTTATAATTTACACGGGCGAACTAGCGGGAAAACAGCCATTCTCTCTCATAATTTTCAATTACAGCCATTTAAGGTAACTGAATGAGTTACTTTATTGAAAGTTACGTTTTAAATGTTTTATTTAAACACAAGAAGCACATGTGAGTCAATATTTGTAAGTGTATAGTCTTATATAATATTTTTTATTTTTATTATTTGTTATATAATATTTCTTATTATCACTTCTCGGATTTCACACTACATTTTTGACGGTCTCTTTGTATCAAGCTATAGCAGTAGGAACTGATCACAATTTGTATTAAGAGACTTAATTATTGATCTTATTCTTATAGTAATTAGTTCGATAGGGATACCAAAATAATTACGGTGATCGGAGATAAAATTACTTGCGTCAAAACAATGTGAAGGGTAGGATACAAACAATAGATTGCGCAACACCTCAATTAAAATAGAAAGCATCTCAAATATCAATAGATTATGCATGAATGACGCGATGTTAACATAATGCAGTTTTAATGCTTACATAAATAAGTCAGCCATAGATTTTAGTTATTTGCAAGGCAATAAGAAAATAATACGGTGCCGTTCAACAAATAGTTCGGTGAAAGTGAAATTTCAATAATACTGTTTTAGAAAACGCAATGAAAGGTATCAGATTGAATCGAGTAATTAATGGAAGCATCAATCACGATCGCGACCGCTACGTCTGATTATTTTATAGATGATGCTGTTGGATTTTTTCACCTTTTGCGGGGTAGAGTAGATCGCGTGGGAACTTGGATCGGAATGAAGTAAAAAAGTTCTAATAACCTTTAGGGCATAGCGACAGTGTATACCTAATGGAAGACGCAAAGCGAATATAACAACTGGCAGATATAATCGATACTAGCTGTTTTCCCGCGAGTCTGTCCGCGTAAATTATATCTATTGTATGTCACCCACGTATGATGAAGCCTAGTTTCACGTAGCTGAAAGAATTTTCATGTTTGGATCAGAATTATCCCCACAAACAAAGTTAGAAACTTTAGCACTTTGTAATGTTAGTCGACGACATTCCACTGGCGATAGGTATGTACGTCGCGTACTTTTACCTTTCGTAAGATTTACTGACAGTTTTATAACAGATTTACTGACAGTTTTATACAAAGAAATAATGTCCTAATGATTATAATTAAAAATGAGAAATCTTCATTTCCAAGGGTGGCCCCTAAACTTCAGAAAATCTTAAAAAATGTGATTCACTTTGTAGCAGAAGAATTTTTGCAGTTATTTTACAATAATCGCAATAGTTTGCAAGTAATTAATTAAAACGTTTTTGCCGCGCATTGGCGGGCGGACAGCGCTGTCATAAATTCTCGTAAATGTGTTTTTTGAAAATTTTAAGTGTCTACACTTAAAATTTTCAAAAAACACGTGTTTTCAGGCCTCCATTACACTTGATGTAATAATTAATATAGAAAAAATACCTATCAGTTCTTACTCACTCTTTACACTTTTTACAAAAAAATATTACAAAAATAATTTCTAGTTTTCAGACTGAGACTAGTTTACCTTGGAAAACAATTAACATAATCATAATTATTGATATCTAACATAAAATAAATTCTGTATTTATCATATTAAAACAATATACTATATAATATATGTATCATCAATATAAATATACAAAGGATTATGTTTTCTTTTGCCTGTCACAAACAATGTAATAGGTTTTGGGTCATGGGACATCAAAAAATATTGATTTTCACTTGATTTCTAAAAAAAGCATCATAAAATCATTTGATTACAAATAACATTACATTATTTATAATAAATCGTGATAATAAAGAAGTCACACTTTTTCACTTCAATTATGGACCTAAAAGTACACAGATTATCAAAAAAGTTATGATAATTCTTATAAGAAACACCGACTTAGGAGATCTGAGGTCTCAATAAATTTGGCAATTCATTATTGAAAATTGTTAAACCAGTACCAATTAAAGTGCACCCAATGCAACAATAGGATTCTATGAGCAACATCGACAATGTGGTGACCTCACACATTGAAAGGGATTGAAACCAATGATTCGGCATTCGAGCTGGAGACTTACATCATGCTTGGACAATAAACCAGACATACCCATTGTTGGAAACTGTTACATGTTATATTGGAAACGGAACTTTTTATTTCACACAATAACATTTTCTGAAGAGTTGTCCCAAATTTCTTTTATATTTTTTATTATTATTTTCATAATAAAGTAAGTGATATTATAATTCAGTATTATTTATATAATATAGTAAACCCATAATATAATAACATTAACTTTAATAATTATTATTATTCTAAACATATTCATAATCAACTTAGAAATTTGTAAATTTTTTATAATTTACAAATTGAGATATACAAAACTGTAATGTTTAAACTTTTTAATTAAAAACTTAAGACTGATCAGAAGTTTATTGACCTCACCAAATGCAATGCACTATGAACTTGCTTGCTTAGAACTTAAATTCAAGTTTTAAAACTTTTCATAATTTTTTACAGTATAAAGATAATGTATTATTCACAAGTAGGTAGTTCACTGTAAAACAATATATGAAGACAATTTACTTACCGGCGCAACCACTTGAAAACACCCATATCCTGCAATGAATCCACTTTTCTCTAATTTTACACTTCATACATAAACTAACTACAAATAACAATTACGAGTTACTACTTAGAAACAAATTAAAACTGAAATCAGGGAAGGTGAGCATGCGGACATTACCGGCGCACAAGTCTGATCATTACAAAAAACGACTAGCAACAATGACCACCGATATATTGTGCGGTCAGACAAAACATCACGAACGGCACGCCATTCGCAATGAGCTGAATTCAAGTTTTTTGTACAAATTACTTTTCGTTGCGCTCTGTTGATTCACTTCGACCGCGCCGCAGTTCGGGCCTCGCTAGCATAGCATCAAATTCGGTGTTCACAAAGCTAGTCTATCGCGATCATTACAGGACACACAATGCACATAACTCGCTAGATTCCGTTTTATTTCTAAATACCGTGTAGGTAGTCACACATTTTATGCGAATAGAAACTACTTTACTGTATGATAGAAAAAATAATTCAACGCTTGTTTACCGTTTTGACGTTTCAGTTTCAGACTTACTCCTAAAGCCTTTATATTCATGCAAAAACTTTTTCATTTTAGGTCATATTATATTTATTTATTAAATGTACTGAAAGGAAGTTTACGAAAGTTTATTACAGAATGAATTTATTAAAAATTAGAGAAGTTTATCGAACATTGAGATGTGACAGATTTAACATAATAATATCTTTTAAATTTACTATGTATATTAAATAAATTATATTATAAAGGTATTTATAGATAAAGAATAAATTATTACCTCCTTTAAGATCAAAGTTGAAATATTTGATAACAAAGTATTATTTTAATTTAATAGAAAATAAAATTAGCGGAAGTATACAAGTATTAAACAATAATAGAATAAAGGTATGATAGTGTTTCCGTTTCCTATAAAGGGCTACACGCATGATTCAGAAGATGTGTTCCTGTGATTCTGATCGACGATTGACGCAGTGGCGGCGTAATGAAATTTGGCGCCCTAGGCAAATCATTGGAACGACGCTCATTAAGAGCCATATTTCAACGGTGATTTATGCGTGAAATGGTAAATTTTGGCTTTCACAATCTCTGAAACCAACATAGATGTATAAAAATTTTGACTTATTTAATAGTGCAGAATAACTCTTGCCATAGTTTGTAGAGATAGTTCGCTTCTCGGGAAGACTAACACCATAAGTAAGTACACCCAAGGACTCGATCGGGCTTTACATGAGCTACGAAACTATAAAGAATAATGCTACAGTAGTGGAATAAATCTAATACCCTTAGCAAGCGCCTTATTTACTTTGCCTCCTTTACAATGTCATATATTATGAAAAATGTCATATATTTGCATTTAGATGTTTTTCTTTCTATTACATTTTATAGTATAATAATAATTCTATTCATTTATAGTTGTATAGATAAGCTTTTATAGTTTCTATTTATAGGTAAACATAACAAATAGAGCTCCAAGATATTAAACAATAATAAGGACACGAAAAAGTCGTCAGTTTTGTAAATATAGTATGACTAGCTGTTTTCTTGTGACGTCGCCTGCATAACTTGTAGCCTATATCACTCGCGTATGATATAGCTTCCCGTAGGTGATTTTTTTTTTATAATCACATCAGCATTTCCGTATATTAGATGAGGAAATTGCCTTTTTTGCCAGGAATGTGTAACGTATGCTGTAGTAATTGTGCATCAAATTTCTCTCCCCTTAACAACGTGGAGCCCCTAGGCATGTGCCTAGTAGGCCTAGAAGATTATCCGCCCCTGCTACAATCAGTTTTAAATCAGGTGGTACAATGTTGGTGTAAGGGTCACACTTTCATAGAAGGTAATTTTTGTAACACTATACGCGTACTTTTAAGTGACAAAATAGACACAATCTTAATAACTTTGTTGTTATAATATATAATATATTCTATATTGTCAAAGTGTGTTTTATATCCCACTAGCTGACCCGGCAAACTTCGTACCGCCTTATACCCGTTTAAAAAAAAATCTTACTTAAAAGCAGTGTCATTAATCGTGGAACGTATAAGAAATAGAATCATCCCAATTTGGTGCAGTCGGAACTGGAATTCGTAAGTTATACGCGTACCTACGTTTCGGCGATTCATTTTTATTCATCGATATTTAATAGCTCGTCCGGACATTTTTTTATTTTTCGATAACTCATTAGATAGTTATTTATTAATATAGTGTAAAAGGCAATTTTGATCTACATTACATGCATAACGTTTCTAACTTATTTATTCGAATAAGGATTAATGCTGTATTGTTAAAAATAGGTTCGTAAATAACACATCATTTAACTGTTTTAAGTATACGCAAAAAAAGGTTTTTGTGGGTTATCCATGGAATATACAATAGATATATACCACCCAACGCAGACTTTTTTGTAGATCTATAACTCCACCATACAATGTTTTGTTATAACTCAAAAGTTTATGGCAGTGTTTTCGAGGAAAGCTTCTGATCGGCTTTATTTTGTCCGACTTTTTGAACTAATATCGTTGTAATATCGTCAGTTGGTACAAAACCTTAACTTACTATACACTAAAATCCTTCTTCAAGAATTGTTCTATCTATTTTTGAAAACCATATGAAAATCCGTCCAGTACTTTTCGAGTTTATCGCGAACAGACGTAAAAATTAAAGTGCTTATCTCTAAAGTACAGTCAATAGCACGTGAATCAAATTGATTTTAAACTGTAATACATTGAAAGTGGAATTAACATACGATATTAAAGTAACGCGTGCGCATTAGTGCATTCCGGTTGGTATTGACGACCGGTGAGGACCACGCGAACGTTGCGTATTTTGTTTCTCGGGATTGCTGGATCACCTATAAAATTAGTAGATTGATTGATGTTAACATCTCGCAAAAGATGGAGAATGTTTGCAAATTTTGTTCTAAACGTTTTTAAGATATAAGGCCGAGACCGCACAGCACAAGAATGATCCACAGTGAATAATACCTTGTAGAATATATAGTTTACCTAAATATTATTATTTGGCTATTCAAAGAAACTCTCTTAGCTATCTGGACACTTTACCTTTTAGCTATTTTTTATAAGTAATAAGTAGAAAAATATGAGCATTGTAAAAATAAGTGAAAAAAAATATTTTAAGAATTAAATATATAATATTCAATCCCATATCATTCATGATTATTTTATAAACAATACAAATTATTTATATTTATTAATTGTATTTTAATATTTTTTTAACTTATTACAAGTCAGCCGAATTATTATTTATATCAAGATACAGTGTTGAATTTGCCATATATCGATAGAAGCAACATTTGACTTATACAGACATAGGATTTAGTTATCAAGTAATTTTTAGAACGCTGTACTACAAGTTTCTAGCTTATTATGTCTCATTACAATGTGAAGGTAATTTGACTGGGCTAGTTCAAATTTTACTCAATTGACCATATTACAACAGCATTTTAAATTTGGACCTTATTTTTAAATTCTGAGCACAGTCGAAATAAATTGTTTACGGAGATCTGTAGGCAAGCAGTCAAACGAATAATTCATTTTGATACGTTGGAATTGTTCAATTTTCACAGTCATTACGAATTTAAGCTGGCAGTTGAGGTAGCGATTCATTTGTAACGAATAGGCTTTACCAGTTGCTTTGAACATGTTTTGAACTGTTGCTTTGACAATGACAACGTACTAAATGTATAATCTATGATGACAACCCTTACTGGCCATTCAACCATAGCCAAAGAGAATTTATTTTACGCACATTGCTCTATAGTTGATGTCACTCTGTGACTTTGTTGTCAGGTGTCAGTGTCAGCTGTCTGCCATCTGTCATTGTCTGTAACTGTAAAAAAAATCTAGTTTGAATTATTTTGTTATCTCTATTGAATTTGTTATTTTATATTCCATTCTTTTAATATTTATGGAATGGACGAATTAAGAGGTCCAAATATACAAATTGTCCTCCATTTGAAAGAAGGTATTTTGTATGAACATCACATGCATTGACGACAATTAGCAATTTTGACACATTTTTTGTTTCAGGCTTAGGTTTTGGGTTTTTGCGGACTCCTTTTGTTGTTACCGGCTCATTGAATGGTTATATGTTAGAAACTGACCCTGTAATACCAACGCATGCGCCAGTTTTTGATGCGGAGTTGGTTTGGGAAGCCGATAAGCGAAGATTTCGAAGGCAAGTACATTATTTATATTCTCGACAAAGCAATTAAAAGACAAGTTTTGAAAAAGACAAAGAATAAAGCTTGGGTGCTGAAACTCGTGGTAAAACTAAAATATCTTTTACATTTTAGTTTAAGAGTTCAAAATGTACCTGTGAAAGTGGAAGTGTATACGACAGGAACACAAAGTCGAAAAGATAAATTGGGTTATTTACTTCTCAGTCTGCTTTCAGCACAACCTTGCCCATCAAATAAAATAAATGATGTAAGGCACTTCAATTATTATTAATAATTAATTATAATTTTTGGTCTATAAACTATCTCCAATATCTATGCTTTCTATGATTTTGCTAAAGTAACTTATGAATTTCAGATAAAATACTCTTGGCATAAACTTCTTGGTGTGAAGTCTGAAGGAAAATGTTGCCATCCTCAAATAATGATCAGTCTGACAATAGAAGATAGAGCTAATACTCCAACTCCGGTACATCTTCTTATTCTGCTTATCCTCATAGATATTTACCAAATAAATTAAATACTTTATCTAAAAATTACAATTTACAAAATTATATATGTGTATAGTTTTGGGTAATGGCAGGGAAAATATTATGTTTCAGAGGAATGAATTGAGAATGTTTCATAGTAATGAAATAGCATATCCTTCTGGTGGAAATACAGTTAATACAACAGCAGGAAGGACTGTATTATTGACTTTGGGTGAGCATAACAATATTTTTTAATGAAAAATGCTTAAAAATCCACTTTGTCCCTGGCACTCTGAGATGGAAGTTGAACCCATGGACTTTCGCAATCTGGGTGTCTGCTTCTCAGAGTGGACAAAGTGGATTTTTAAGCTTTTCATTAACAATATTTTTCAGTATAACATTGTGAACGCAAAATTTATCAAATATAATAACAAGCACAACAATATAAATATTTTACATCTCTGAAGTCATCTTGTATTCACTTTGCAATTAGGCTTAATAAAGTAACATTCTCATGATTTGCATACTTATTTCCTTCCAGCACCTCCTCTATTAGCTCCTTACGGTATATGGTAACTGAGCATTGTTTAAAAATAGTTCTTACTTTCTGGATTTTGGTTTATTTGAGGAACTAAATCTGAAAAAGTTGTTATTTCTCCTCCACCTTTAATATTTATAAATTACGTTTTTCAGAAGAATATATGACAGAGAGTAAAAAAACAGTGTCATCATCAGATCTCCAACCAAAGTTAATTTGTGATGAGGGTCTTATACAGATTGGTGCTGGAAAACATTTGTTTATTCTAAGTTTAGTCATAGGAGCCGTAGAAAACATAGACTTGGTATGTTTTTTATTATTGTGTGTCAGATAAGTTATTAAATATTGTTTATTTTTTTGATTGAATATTACCATTGTTTGTTGCAGCTGTTACCTGAAAAGATGACTGACAGTAATCCAGTGGATTGTCATGTCTCTTATTCTGTGTTCACCCATGAAATTATGACTGATAGGTATAAACCATAAATTTATTGCAAAGATTACCAACTCATTGACATACAAAAACCAAATATTACCAAGCTCTTTGTTTTTGTCAATTTTTTAATTTTTCAATGAATTGTCATACCTATATAATTGCCAGACTTTTTTCTGTGATGACTTACTTAATATAAAAATAAGGTAATAAAATAAAGATTGTTACATATCATTATACACAGAACAGCAAGTCAGCAAGCAAGTCAGGTGCCAATTGATTTTGAGTTGTATTGCGGGAGTATTAAGATTTAAAATCATATGTTATTGTTAAAATGTAAAACCCTGTTTGCTGTTGACTGAAGAATGATAGTTCAGTTTATGTATTTAAGTGTTAAAACCAGAATTGGCTGCTTGACTGTTTTGGGAAAGGTATTTTATAACTTTGATATGATTTATTATTATGATCAGATCATATGATCATTATTGATATGATTATTGATCTGTCAGGCCTATTTTCCTCAAAAAAATATTATTAAATAAAGGTAAAACATATGTTTATTTGTGAACATAAATTGCCCCGCGAAAACAAAAAAAAACAAGCAGTTACGTGACATTTCGAGCCTTGATGTCACATTTCAATAAACATAAGTAGAGTTGTTTACTTTATTGAAATGTGACGTCGCAAAATGCTCTGTTATGGCCGCCTGTGTTTCGATTCATGTACTCTACAAATTATCAAATGCAACTTAGTCAAGTAAAAATAAAATATACTTATAACACAGTAAATACAGGCTGAAGAGAGTAAATGAAAATAAGTTCATTTTTTTATATTGCTTAAAATATTGCTTAAACTAAATCTTACTTATGAAAAAACTAATATTTTTATGCTGGTTGTCACGTAACCGCAAACAGCGCGTGACATCACACCCTTCTTACGCATATCAGAACTTAGAGAATTCAATCTTATACATACGTAGGGTGAAATTAGTTTCAGAGTGCTGTCGTGTAATATCGACGCCATGAAAATTAAAATTAAATTTATTTTTAGATTTTAACTTATTATATGAAAATATTTTTTAGATACATATTAAAATTATAAAATAAGAAATACTAGATAGTCAATGTTTACATATAAGTTACTATTTTCAACATATTACATTAATTTATTTTTATAACTGTTAAGTAGCCAATGAAACTCCGATTTCTATTAGATTAAATATCAATTATACTGTTTTTTTCACCTTTAAGTAATAATTTAATAAATTATTATGTTGTTGGTAGAGTGCGCGCACGTAGTTCTGTGAGTGCGGTACAATTCAACCAGCGCACGTCGTTGCGAGTGCGCGCTGATCTCACTGTGTTGTCGCAGTACTTCGCGCATTGCCCTCATTTAGTAGCGCGTGTGTGCGCTCAAGACCAGAACATAGGTAAAATAAATAAAATAGTAACTAAATCTTTGACCACACTTATTTCTTACATTACTCCGAATTAATATGACACTTGAGTTTCGTTTAATTTCGATATTCTGAACGGCCGTCCATTAGTCACGTGAGGCTCGAAAGGGGGAGGAGGTTTGTCAGAAATCTCGAAATTCACACGGAGGAGGGGGTGTAGTAAAATATCACGTGTATTTATTTGTTCCTCAAACTCGCGATTAGTAAACCGAAAAGCGACATCAAAAATTAAGTTTTTTATAGGTACTATAAATACACTTGATTTCAGTGGAGGGGGGGAGGGGTAGTCTTATACCTCACCATGTATCGCCAAGGGGGAGAGGGGGTTAAAATGTTGAAATAAATATCACGTGATTAATAGACGGCCCCTAATACTACTCCGAAGAAATGCTTTTTTCAGTAATGTGTAATAATTTCGATGATGCAACGGTAGGACCAAATTCTACCTACGACATGATTTAACAAAATGATATGAACGATTGTCGATTCAGTATCTCGATGGCGTTGTGGATAAGCGCCGTGGCTCGCGATCGTTTTTGTTAAGCAACTTTCGCAAGGGTCGGTCACGGGATGGGAGACCAAAAAATTACGTTAAGCCGTTGGTTCCGATTGCATTTTCAGTCGTTAATACCATCCAATCGACATCCATAAGGAAGGTCCCCACTACAGGGGCTACCTGCATATGAACGATTCGAAATTTTCTGAATTTTCTTTCAACGACAAATAGAAAAGGTACATAACAATACTCAGGTTTATATCTGTGTTAGCTTTCTTATTTTCTTTTAGGTATATGTAGCATGGATCTCCGTAAGCTAGTTCCCACCGAAGACTTATCGTTGTTCACCAATCAGTTCTGTAATTTTGAGAATGCTTTAACGATACATGAACGCTCGTACATTTTACGATGCGATGGTGCGACGCCACATGACACACGCAGACCCTACGTAGACATAGAGATGAGTCTTAAATACTTAGGTTTGAAGAAAGATGTTCAGGTAATTAATCATCAGATTATTAATATTCTACTCGCATTAGGGACATTAATACTAGATAAAGCAGTAGATTATTGCTGGTGCAGGCTTTCCCTGTATAATAATCATAAATAAATATTGTATATTATGACATACATATATTTCCCTGATCCCACAATTAATAGCTGAAGAACTTGTGTTATGGAAATCTGAAACAACTAAAGTATTACTACATCTAGACCCGAGACAATATAGAAAAGTTCATTTTCTATGTATTGGTGGTCATAATTTTTTGGTCACCCATCCGAAGACAAGTCCTTGAAAAGTTGCTTGATGTCTATAATCGTAATTCGAAGTCTAACCACTGCGTCATCTAGCTCCTAAGGTTTCGAGGTATGCCTATGTATTAGATATCTTCATATCCCACTGAGTAGCTATGTTACCCTTGTACAAAAACCAGAAATAACAAAGGTAACTCTTAGATTCGAGACAGTACAGAAAACTTCTACCCTCCCTGCCCCCGGAACTTCAATCAATTTTAAAAGACAATGATGCAATTTAATAGCGCAGTTGTCAGCGTACTCGGTCTGCGATACGGTTAGTAAGCAACTTTCGCAAGGTCCGGTCAAGGCTGGGTGACCAAAAAATGTGCTTGAGTTCCTCCGTGCTTCGGAAGGCACGTGAAGCCGTTGGTCCCCATCGCATCTGCAGTCGCAAACACTCATCAAATGCCTGAGCCCTAGCAGTAATCGGTTGGTAATGATGATAATACTACGATGATTAATTGGCCCGAGGCAACCTGCCCCCTCCCAACATTTGCGGATATCCTCCTCTGCCCCATTATATATAGTATGGTATAGTCTAGCCATAAGTTCTGTTACAAAGAAAATAGCCTATAATTTAAAAAAAAAATATTATATGTGATTGTGTAGAGTGAAAAAGATATGTTAACGTACTAAACTAGTTATTCAAAGTGTCCACCCTAAGCTTTAATGCACGCTTTTAATCGGTCAGGCTATTCGTTAATGTATTTACGATCGGTTTCCATTGGAACTTGGACATTGCTGGCTCCAAAAAATTCTAGAGCGACTCAATATCTGGGTGACGCTTAGAGCAGGCCATGCCCTTACCTACTTTGTACAGTGCAATTACTGCAATACTATTGTCTTTAGTGCTCCACTTCCTTTCCAAAACAAATCATTTCTAAACAAAAAACATACAATAATGGCGGAAAAGAAGTCTATTTTTTATCGTAGAAGCTAATGTTCGAAATTCTAATTTATGTTTTTTTTTAATGTACGTAAACAACCAGTAACAGAATTTATGACTAGACTAGGTATATATTTTGCTCATAAACAGAAACCTTTAATTCACGCGGCTCGCAGTACGACTGGGTTAGAAAGCGATCGGCGAACGAGTGAAGCGGCGAACCTCCAATATACTGGCGGCAGTTGTACAGACGTAGGACGAGATACTGAGACGCGCGCGTACACAGACATCGATGTATGCAACACAGCGCGGTATGTTTGGTGTCGACTACATATACTGGTTATATAGATATTATAACTTTAAAAGTTACAAAATGTTCTGTAGTAGTATTTTTAGAGTTCCGTACCCAAAGGGAAAAAAGTGCACCCTATTACTGAAACTTCGCTGTCTGTCTGTCACCATGCAGTATCTCATGAACCGTGAAAGTTCAACAGTTGAAATATTCACAGATGATGTATTTCTGATGCCGCTATAATAACTAATGCTAAAAAATAGATTTAAATAAACACTTAAGAGGGATTCCCATACAACAAACATGTTTTTTTGCTCTAACCGGGCTGAATATTATGAACCATGATAATTAGATTGTTGAGACTTTCACAGGCGATGTATTTATTTGTGTTGCAGCTATAACAATAAATATTAAAAAATTGCGTAAAATTAATATAAATAAATATATAAGGGAACTCCCTTAAATATTTATATACAACAAACATTTTTTTTGCTCCTTTTCGGTACGGAGACGTGCGCGAGTCCGACTCGCACATGGTCGGTTTTTGTTTAACATGACACGCATTTAATTGATTTCATGTTTAATAAAATGTCTGATCACTTTTAGAGACGTGTTATACTAGGTTGGAGAAAAAGTGTTTTCACATATGTATATGTTATCACTACATAGTATAAAATAAAGTCGCTTTTTCTGTCCCTGTGTCCCAATTTATGCTTAAATCTTTAAAACTTTAGTGATTCTAAGGGAAGGTTTTTATGTATAATACAAGACCACGCGGGCGAAACCGCTGGTGATAAGCTAGTATAATATGCGTTTATGCAAGCTACATAATAAAATCTTTCTAGCTATACCATTTGTATCTGGCTGATTTCAGTATCATTAAAAAATTTAAATTTTAAAGATAAAATAAAGATAATTCTGAATTCAAATTAGGAAAATGTGTGTACTAAATGTGAAACTGCACCAGGACCTTGTGCAATTTCTGTGAGAGTAGCACAAATTTGGTTTTAGCGTTTTCATTCCGGAAATTTTCATGTCAAAGATGCACGTCGATCACTCCGGTCGCCCTGTTACCAATAATGGATGCCATTTTTGAAAAAGTGGAGCAAGATCGGCATATCCGTAGTAATTACGTTGTTGAAGAACTGGGGATTGACCACAAAACAGTTTTGGCGCATTTGAAAAAAGCTGGGTAAACAAAAAAGTTAGAAATTTGAGTACCTCACGAGCTCGCTGAAAGAAACCCAATGAACCGTGTACTCATTTGTGATTCTTTATTACGGCGTAATGAAACCGAACTATTTTTTGAAGAAGCTGAAGGACTGGTGGTGAAATGTGGATCACTTACGACAAGAACATGTGAAAAAGATAGTGGTCAGAGGTTGATCAGGCTTCACAAACTGTGGTGAAACCTGGGTTAACTCGCAACAAGGTGATGCTGTGTGTATAGTGGGATTAGAAGGGCATTATTCATTATGAGCTGGCATCGTCAGGCAGGACCATCGTTTCTGAACTCTACTGCGAACAACTGATGCGATTAAAGCAAGAAATTGAAAGAGGCCAGAAATAATCAATTAGATAGGGTGTGGTTTTTCATTACGCTAACGTTAGATCTCACACGTCATATAGTCCTGCAAGGTCAGGACAGACAGGAGGTTTCCACCTGTTTCAGCCTCTTAAGAATTCTTTAGGCAGTGAAACATTTTTTTGATAAGAAGCTCCAAAATTTCTATAGAAACGGGATCATGTCCTTACCTATAAGATAGCAAAAAGTTATCGAACAAAATGGTACCTACGTTAGTTAAACGTAAATAAACTTTATTAAAAAATGTTTTGAATTTTCGTATAAAATGCGAATAAACTTTTCCTCAACCAAATAACAAAAAGATTCCAAATTAATTGAAATCTAGCTGAGTTTTTATTTTTAGTTAAACTAAATTAATAGGAACTTTTAACTAAATTAATAGGATTTTTTCCTAGTCCTCTTCATTTTCCCTTTCTGATTTAGACAGTCTTCAAAATTATAAATGATATAATTTTTGATTGTTATTAGAACTTAACATCTTCAGTTTTGTGTTTTACTTTTCGATTATTATTTCAATTATCATTTGTTTTTCTTACCAATCAGATATAAAAACTCAGCAGGCGATCCGATAATCCAATCCAGTGAAATAGCGGATATAATAAAGAAAATGTACGAATCGTTCACATTAAACCAAGAGAAGCTGTTAGCGAGCCGTCTAAGGCCGACTACTAGCGATATGCAAGTACAATGCGGACCAGAACGTAGAGATGCGTCCGCGTATGTTGAAGTTAACGCAGATGACGGAATCAATACTGAGAATATCGAAGAACGGTTGGATAGTGGCTCTAGAAACATTAAACTAGATTCGTAAGCATTGTTTATTATTTTTTCAACACTGTTTTATACCTATGTTTTATTTGAATGACATTTTGAAATAGACTTACAACCCATTATTTTCCCGCCTTACATGTAAGCTGTAGGCCTATTATATTCTTTTCCGAAAACGAAAGTCTATTTTCGATATCTTAATATGACTCCAAAGTAACCCATTTTTCGATATTTTGTGATGCGACGGAGGTAGGACTTGTCAATTCTTCTGTACACATATACAATTAACCTTCACGAATATGATTTATAGAAATTTTCCGCTTTTTTGTTTGTCGATAAATGGAGCCCTCAGGTTCTGAACAAAATCAAAGCTATTTTGATTTTAAGAAGCACATCTCTTATTATTAATATGCTTACTTCATATACATGTAGCGGAAACATAATAACTTAATTTTTTATTTAAAAAAATCCGTATGTATTTTTTCAGAATACCCATAAAATTAGAGACAAGTAAAAGTGATACTCACATCTCATCTACGGAAAAGGGTAATAGAAATATATTCATATTTCTAGTATAAATGTATGAAACACGACACCTTCTAAGTAATGCATTTGTTAAAATAAAGTGTAGGTAGTTACACATTTTGAAAACTGCATTTTAACAGTGATATTATATTCTTTCAACTGTTTATTGGTATTTTTGAAGTCAAAATTATTAATATAGTTTATGTTTGAACATGAGCGTTCTCAAGTTCTGGGCCTTGGGGATGACCTTGAAACTTGCTTAATTTTGACATTCTCATATCGAGTCGAAATACTCATGCTTAGGAAGTAATAAATAGTCTTTAAAAATTATTTTACGAAATTATGTTTATTTAATTTTTGTTGTTTTATTTTAGTTAAGAAAGTTCTCACACCAAGAGAACGCGATGAGATAATGCAGAGAGTCGTCGATGAACTAGAAGACTGGAAGGAGCAGCAGCAGCAACTTTATAAATGTCAGGTAGCATAACAAATTATTTTCATAATAATTCAACTCGTTTATTTATAATCAACCATGGGACGCGGCTAACTTTGTTTCGCCTTCATTAAAAAACAAACCATACACATACAGATGCATTTTATTGTAACACATCACTATTATCTATCACTGATCTTTTACCTGTTTTATTCTAATTACTAGCTTTCTTAAGTCTAGTTTCAAGTCCAGAAATTAGAAAATTTCATAAAAAGTTTCATCCCATAATTTACTTACTTAGGGGTCGAATTTTGTAAAATCCCGTCTCAGTGAGCACCTACGTTCTAAAAAGAGAAATTTGAAACTCCTATCACTTGCAGTAACGAAGTTTCATACTAACTTTCATCCCCTAATTTAGCCCCTGCAGGGTGGAGTTTTCAAAAATCCTCTCTGTAGTGCTCCTTTATACTTCCCAAGGAATCTTCATTCCAAATTTCAAACTTTCTTCACTCAGTAGCTTCGGCTGTAGGTTGTCTGTCAGTCAGTCAGTCAGTAACGCAAAAATTTTATATATAGGTGTAGATTATCATCATCAATAAAGTATATTTTTTAAATACTTGTTGTATTCCCGACGAAGACAAATCCAAAAGCACAGAAATTGGTCTGGTCATGCTCGAGTTATAAATCGTGTAACTTGTGTAACATTGGACCCATATTTACGAAAATTGTGCGCTCGTGGAAGTATGAAATTTAAATTTGGGATTAATATTTTTATTTTGGGGAAGTACAGAATGATTTGACTTGAAAATAAATTATTACATGGATACATATTCACTGAGTCGATTTGGAATGGAATCAGTGAAATATGCGATTTTTCAGCTTAAACGCAAGGAAGAGTACCATTTGGAACTGTTAGCTAAAGAATGGGAGAAGCAGCGTATTGAGCTGGAGTCGAAGTTGCGTCGTGGCGTCGAACAATGCAGGACCCTCGCCGCTGATCTAGCGCGGGCCACTGACGACTTCAGATTAAGAGGATACAGGAATACACATCGCGAACAAAAGGTAAATATATAGGCAGCATCACCAGGCTATTAATGTCCCAACTTCTGCGGCTTAGGCCTTCTCTATGGATGGAATCGAATCGAATAGGGGGAATGGGCGGGTCTAGTGCGGTTTTGAGATTATTTTCATCAGCGTTCAGAAAATCACCAGCTATCTAAATACATATTGGTCCTCCGAGTTAAACACCAATTTTGTTAATAGCAAAATGAAATGAAAACGTATTGGAAACTTGTGTTTTAAATTGGATTGTAACGGAATTTCTCTTTTACACACGCATACTTCCGTGAGACAATCGATTGATCTTCCGTCAGATTTGCACCGACCCTGAAGCCCTTCACCTGAGACAGTAAATTTTTTAAAGCATTATTTGATGTTTCTATCAGTTGCTAGAAGCGAAGAAAGCTTTAGAGGCTCACTACACGGCTAAGTACCAGGAGCTAAGAGAAGCGTCGCAAAAGATGGAGGACGATATGAACCACCATCTCAAACTTAAAGACATGCGCATCGAAGAGTTGGAGATGAAGGTGTTGTCACTAGAAAAACAAGTCGATGTATTAAAGGTGAGTTGGAGTTGTGTTTATACAGTCAACACCACGTCACGCTATACAAAACTTCAATATTTCCCCCACTTGATTTGAAACCAAAATGCAATGAGGGTAGGTTAGTCTGAAAATAGCCGAAGAAATTACGTCTCACTTCAAAGTGAGGTTTTATTTTGTTTTAGTGTGTTTACGATGGCGCCAACGTTCGGATGTGTTACTATGCCACAGTGCATATTAAAACTGCAAAAATAACTATCGGAATAATAATGTATCTGTTGTTATATCATGTATCATTATTATATAACATGATATTATATGATAATTATACATGATATAACAACGGTTTTCGGGTTGTAAATGTCATTTTACAATGTCTATATTTAATAATCAAAGTATTTTCAATAAAATAACAGTTTTGTTTCTGACCCAGTCATGGTCACTGATTAATATATGCGACGTCACTTCTCATTTTAAGAAAATGATATTGTTTTCGTTACTCCGAAGTTAATTAATCTTATCATTGGTTTTTGTATTATTTGAAGTTTTAGTTAATTATGAAAGAGTGGTTAAAGAATAAATACATTTAGAAAATGTAGATGATCAAAACGGAACTCTTCGATTATGACGTTTGCCTGACAGCTGTTAAACTATTGAGTAGGTGGTTGTAGTTTGTTTTGTCCATTGGGACAGGCGAAGGAACTTAGTCATATTGCCAAATCTTGAGTAAAATATTGAAATAATAGGGTTGAAGCTGAGCAAATCTAAAATATTATAAAATAGATAACGTCCTTCGAAAGTAATCTATCAAGATATCTAATTGAGTTTAATAGAAGGACATCCTTATTTATTAGTACGACAGTTAATGTGGACATGATTTCTCCCCATCTGGAATATAGCGATATATATATTATTTTCCTTGGGAAAATATTAATTACATCTAGCTAAGTCTTATTATGGTGAACATGTATGTTCCCGGGGTGAGTAGGTACTTAATTGAAGTTAGTAGAGAAACTATTAATGTCACAGAATTCAATCTTAGGGGAAGCGGTAAAATACCTTAGTGAGAGGATCAACCAAGTCGCAGCTTGTTGGCCGACGGCAATATTAGGTTTATATTTTAATTGAAAATAATATTAATGGGAGATAAGGCATTGTAGAATATTGCTGCAGCTGCTTGGTGAGACAATGAACTCTTGGCTGTTGTGCCATATTATGTCTATACTTCGGTTTTTAGGATGGGCACAGCACCAAAACAACATCGTACCACTAGCAGCATTTTTAAATGATGTCATTGTCAGGAAAATGTCGAATAAGAATAAACAAACTTAGTCATGAGTAAAAACGAAGAAAAATATTTCTATATCGAGAATTAATATAGAAGTGTTAGCTATAATTTTCTAAAGAAACTGTTGACCTGTCGCTCTTATTAATTATTGTTTTTAAATAATATCATTGGTTTTAGTTAAATTCGATGGGACTAATAAACTTATGAAAACAATATTTACGAAAAGTTAAGAATTGAGAAGGATAATAAATCCGATTTCTATTCGTCGTTCTGCTATATAACCTCAAAATCTTTATCTTATCATTTACTCACATTCCTGATTGCAAAAGTAATTAATAATAATAACAATGATTTACGGACATATTTGAAACATTTCATGAATATTTAAATAAACCGCGTAAAAGCGACTCTGGGGACGTGACGTCATTTGTGGGGTAAACAAAAGGAATTTTTGAGGAAAGAAATTAATTATAGCATTCAGTACGTATAATCTAACTAAAAAATAAATAATACACAATACTGACCATTGTAACTTGCTTAAGTAAATCCTTAAAATTATTTTAAACTTTGAATGTTTCCCGAGCTTTTTCTAGATAATTTAACTATCAATTTACCCACAAATGACGTCAAAAATATTGGTAGTCGCAGTATTTGAGTATTGTTTTAGTATGCGAGGTGTTTTCTAAGGTACCTGGGTCGAATATGGTCACCTTAAGGTGTAACTTCCTACATCTTTTTTGTTTTGATGATTAGGAATAGCTTTAATCAATTTTCTGTCATGTATATTAACTATTTATCATATGGCTATAAGAAATACTCCAAGGTATGAATGAGATTGCGGCCAAACAAGTTTTAAAAAAAAATGGCGAATTGACCATATTTCCGACCATGTTGGTTAATATGCCCTTACTATGGGCATATTAACTGTATTAGTTATTATAAATGGTAAAGATAATTTAACAAAAAGAAAACAAAAAACTTTGGATTTATTCTTCTGAGATCTAGGAATTAAATACGTAAAGAAACTTAATGGCATTAAAAGAAGCTTAATACTTAATGGCACTTCCATTTTAACTGTAACATAATATTAACTAAAGTAATCATCTTCTTAATTCAAATAAGAATAAATTTTTCAAATAATAAATTTTAAATAATAAAAAAGAGAACAACATTATCACAATCAGCTATACTTTCCTAATCAACTGAACTTTTATTATTTTTAATTTTCGCATCGGATGCAAATGAATTGTTCTTTATCTTTAGCAGTAAGCCCCACGCATTCCTCGTGGACGTAAGATGCACAATTTATGCATAGTCTCATATCAGCAATTTTATCTTCTTGACATACAAAACAATACCAGGACACATTAGACGGTCTTTCCTTCAAGCCTTTACCCTTCCCTTTTCCTTTTCCTTCTTTATCCATATTCTTGTCTTGGCTTTTGCTTTCAACTGTCACTTTCTGCTTCTTAGCAACTTTATCAAAAATATCTTTAGTTAATACTTGTGCTAGACTGTTAATAGCTTTTTTTCTAGTTACAATTGGATTTGAAATTTTCTGTGGAGTTTTGAACATCATTTTGAATGATACGTTAGCGCCTGATGAAGTTGATGGCATTGGTAATAGAGACTCCACAGTCTTGTTGTTACAATCTCGAGTTGAAGATTTGGTAATCAAAGGATCTGAATCCTCAATTTCCATATACTCCTTAACCGGAGTTGAATATTTAGCAGCTACCAAAGCTGAGTCTTCTAAAGCCATATCCTTAACTGGGGTTGAAGTAGCAGCTAATAGAGCCGAAGCTTCTATAGCCATATCAGAAACCTTGACTGGGGTTAAATCTTTATCAAACATTGGAGGTGATGCCTCAATAGCCACATTTGAATCCTTAGTTGGAGCCTCAAATAAAACGTTATCTACCAAAGATGGACTTGCAGTCTGAATGTTTCTGTCCTTAGATGATAACAAGAGTTGGTCTAAGACAGTTACAATCTCAGAAGAAGATAATTTGGTATCTGTAGTATTTTTATTTGAAGTATCAGATTCTCGAAATCTTGCGGAATCATGAACAGTCTCATCTTCGCGAGACATCTCGGATCGACCTAGGATAAAATTTTTAGTAGCCGTACACTTCCTCATTGGGAATGAAGGGCTTTGTGTATTGTCTTCAGATCCAGATGAGCAAGACGTTGTAGAATCTCTTTTTGTTGAAGAAACAAACGCCGACAGTGGTACATCATCTTCACTGTCGCTGGAAGCATTAGTAGTTGGATCAACAGAGTCTCCCGGAATCGATACATGAGTAGGAATACTTGGCGCGTAAGCTTCTTCAGGAATCTTTGTTGGGTCGAACGGAAAAATTCCAGTAGCCTCGAAACCAGCTTTTATGTTAGCGGGAGTCAAAGCTTTGTCCCAAACTTTTGAAAATATGGGACCGAACCTTTGTTTTGTGATCCTTCTATCTTCGTGATGCGCCCAATACTTCAACACTTCCTCATCCCAGAAATACTCAAATGAGCGAAACACTGACTTGTCCATTGGTTGGAGCTCGTGTGTCGTGTTGCTGGGCAGACAAAAAAGCTTTATATCAAATTTATCAGCAGCTTCTACGATGGAGTAATCCAAATGACATTTTGCTCCATCAAACACCACGAGACATGGCCCAGGAAGTTTGTACTTAGCTAGATGGTGTATCCATTCAACAAAAGTATCAATATTCATGCTTCCTTTAGGAGTCATTTGCACATTTGTTCCATTTGGTAATGAGTCTTTCCACTCTGGCTTCAGCCGCTTTCCTTTAAATAGGATCATGGGCGGTATAGCTTGACCCAAAGCATTGCCACACGACACTACTGTTACATTCTCTGCATGTTCATGTGCTACTATATGCACTCTCTTTGTACCTTTTTGAGCCAAAACTTGAGGAGATTTATGAAGATTTAACTGACACCCCTTCTCATCAATATTAAAGATTCGTTCAGGGCTATTCAGTAAATTATTGTCTTCTAAGACTTTACGGAGTTTTTCAAAATAATCAGCCACAACTATTTTGTTGAGCTTTTGAGCTCTTGCTGGGTTAAGGTTTTGTGCTTTTCTTCGACTTACGCCTTTATGACGTTTAAGATAACCTCTCAGCCAATCACGGCCAATCATAGCATTGTTGCTCGATAGGGGTATATTGTTCATTTCGCAGTAGGTCTTAACACTAGTCCTTAATACACATGGAGTTATGGGATACCCAACATTGGACAAGCGCACGATCCGAGCCTCGAGGTCATTTTCTTGTTCTTCACTGAGTAATGGTTTTCTTCCTAAGGATGCCTTTTTTATCTTATTATCAGTGAGATATCTCTTGAGCGTACGTCTGGGTATATTAAAATGTTTTGAGGCAGCATAAACTTTCATCACGCCGCGTTTTACCGCCGCTAACGCCTTTATCATGTTGTCTTCAGTCCATCTGCCTCGTATACCTCGGCATTTGTAACGCCCCATCTCCTGAAAACACAAAAACAAGTTAAAAAAAAACATATATTTACGTACGGGAAATATGGTCACAATGTGGCCATATTTACCTGCAACACATTTTTTCATAACCTATAAATAACATAAAAAAATATTCAAATAGTTCCAAGTTACACTTACCCATCAATAGAATACTAATCAAATCTTGCAACACGATATAGATGTACTAGTGAATCGTTCTATTTATAACGATTTTGAGCAACTATCGAAATAATTTTTTAGTAACATTCACGCGACCATCTAGCACAGTACGTTTCAGCCAACTGAACGGCGCGCGAGACGCGTGGCTGGCGTGCCATTCAAGGTCATGCATCGGTGGGTGCACGGAGTGAAGTTGTCGACTTTCGCGCGTTGTTAGTTTTTGAAATAACACCTACCGGGCATATTTACCGACTGCGCATATTCGACCCAGGTACCTTAGTTGTGCTGTTGATCGAAGATTTTTCTGTTTCAATTTATTTAGAATAACTTGAAGAACATAGAGAAGGAAGCCGAGTGTAAATACTCAGGTCTGACGAAGGATCAAACCGCAAGTCTTATTCAAGAATTGGTGAGTAACTAGTTATTATAGTAGCCTAAAATTTTAAATCAATTTCAATATCGAAATTATTTAAAGTGGTTTTATTTATTTATTTTGAAAAGCTTATCACTGTTATAATAGGTAACCCTAATATAGCATCGTAGCCATATTACCTAAATACAATTAAAACTTATTAACTATTATAGGTGACAGTATCTGATAGCAAATCGGGAAATTTTAATTTGTAGAAGGCAACATTGAAAACAAGGATAAAAACGTCTTGATAGTTGTAATAGTTTTGATATTATTCATATCAATAACATTGAGCATACTCCTTATCATACCTCTGACTGAATTCCGTAACTTTATCCTACCACCATCTAATAGGCGGATTAAACAGCACTCGACACGACATAAATAAAAAAGCTATATGTAATTGTTTATTGCAAATCTCCTTTAATATTGCAAATGCGTTACTGTCTGTTACGCTGACACATATAATTCAAATCCGATAAATTTTCTTCTGTTTACCACTCGTATTTTTCACCAGTGTAGAAAAAATATCATCATATCTTCTCTTTCATTAATAATTCGTTTTTTTGCAGTAGTCGAAAAGCCAATAATTATTAAAAAATTAAATAAGTATCAAGACTAGTCGTTTCCGGTCCGTCAAGACAAGTGACCGGTCAATTTATAAACATTAAAATTGAAAAATCAGTTAATCTTCAGCTTTTGACAAATTTCCCTATAAACATGAAAAATAATATCTCTCGCTACATACATCAATGGCTTTTTGGGCACTTCACAAAATAATTTTTTTTTTTGTCAAATATACACTTTGACTAGATAGTTGCCTGCCACACAAAGATCGATGTATATCTGTTTATTTTGTGCAATCAGATGCTGGTCCACCTACCATAATACGTGAAATTACCTCAATGAACTCCCAGGGTACAGCGATATAGTTTAATTTCTACAGATACTTCATTCAGAATCCGTATTGCTCCAATCTCCCGTTTTATATTTAAAATAGTGCCAGCGACTTCGTTCGCGTTCTCCATTATCTCTTCGCCCCTAATAGTTGCAGCGTGATGTTATATAGCCTTAAGCCTTCCTCGATAAATGGTCTATTCCAGGGCTTCCCCAGGGCGTCGCGGCAATGGCCCAGGGGCGTCGCGTGTTGATATATCGATGCGACTAAGTCAAGTGATCGCCGCATGCATACTGTCAACGCGACGCGAACGCGGACATATGTGACATATTTAACAAATTAAATGATCTTAATAAGTGTTTGCAGGGAAACAATACTCACATCCTGCAATTGGCAGATAAAATTACTGGGTTTCAGAAGAAGTTACACTTATGGAAGAGAAAATTAGAAGATCAAGTAATTGACTGTTCTCCTGCTTTACAAAGTATTCTACTAGAATAATCGATAAAAATCCTGGATCCTTCCTTAAAAATAATATTTACACAGCACTTGCTCTCACTAAGCGAACACTTTGAAAAATATTTTTTCGATAATCTGGAGCAATACGACTGGGCTTACTTAACTGGAGCCCCGTTTTAAGAAACTATGCTCAGAAAAGCAAGCACATCCATCTTATTAGAGCCAGCCAGTTAGTTACATCTCTTTTTTTTATGCTTATGACTTATGTTTTGAATTTGTTTTCATTTATTAAAAAATATAAAAGTCAAATTCGTGTCTTCCTGATAACCTGTTACTAGGTTAGTACATACAAAAACTGGTTAGTATTTTTGGGGACTGCGTTGAAGGGCGTCGTAAAAAAATGGCAAAGACCCAAGGGAGTCACAGTACAAAAAAGTTTGGGAAGCCCTGGTCTATTCAAGACAAAAATAATTTTTCAATTCGAACCAGTAGTTCCTGAGATGAGCACGTTCAAACAAACTCGTCAGCTTTATAATATTAGTATAGATATACAGTGTTATGTGTGTGTAGCGTTGTTTAGAGGAGAAGTTGGATGGCGCTATGCAGTCGAAGGCATTCTTCAAGGAGCAGTGGGGCCGCGCCGTGCGCGAGTTGCACCTCACCAAGCTGGGCACGCGCCGCCACCTGCTCACGCGGCTGCAGCACGAGCGGCGGCAACTGGCGGATAGAGGGTACACTTCTATATATACTAGTGTACTATACCATCTCGTACAAATATCATCATCATCAGCCCTTTTACGTCCCCACTGCAGGGGCTCAGGCCTTCCTTATGGATGGTTAAGGAGGATGGCCATGACCCTCCACGCTGGCCCAATGCGGATTGGAGGGTATGAACGACTGCAAATGCAGCCGGGACCAACGGCTTAACGTGCCTTCCGAAGCACGGAGTAGCTCGAGATGATAATTTTTTGGGTCACCCATCCCGTGACCGATCCTTGCGAAAGTTGCTTAACGACAACGATCGCGAGCCGCGGCGTTTATCCACTACGCCACCGAGCTACTCGTACAAATATATTCAGCAATATTGCAAAATTTATATTTGCCGTACAATAGCGATCGATGACTGGATGGTTTAGTCCGTCAGCCAGGTATTAGGAAAATTTTGGATACTAGGGATAAAAACTGAATGATTTAGTCCGTCAATCAGATAATTTTAAAATGCATTTTTTTTTGCTTCAATTTAACAAATAATTACTTATATAATAGGCATTATAATTAAGGAATGGTGGCTCGCTACGTCACAGTTGTGATGTGTTAATGTAGCGCCGCAATTTATTGACTACGCAATAAATTAAAAAGAAATTTGACATACAGCGTGAGAATCAGGTTTTTTTTGCAGTGGTTCTCTTAATTTGGACTGTTATACCGACACGCCGGTAACAGTACGAGCCGATGCATAGATTGAATCTATCTTTTTCTCTCTTTATTTTTCCTTGTCCGTTTTCTAACAGTACTCAGGCTTAAACTTTTAACTTTATCGTATATAACATTAAATGTAACTTAATATTACGTTATTATATTTCATCAATTTTGCATTCACACTCAAAATGGGGGGGGGGGGGGGGAGATCAAACCACCATAGAACACATAGTACAAGTAGAGAGGATCAGAATGGGTATCGACGTTATCAATGCTAAATTTAATAATATATTTAATAAAAAGAGGATTATCAAGCATTTTTCATTAAGAAAATATTAAGTTTTTTTAATTTTCCTTGTTCTATAGTGGTTTGATCCTTAAATTGCACCCCATTTTATTGCACGCAAAATTGTGCAAATGAAGGAGTCAATGCTGTTAGATATTCTCAACCAGAGAACTAGGCACAGATAAGATGTGTGACGACGGCACATAGAATGAGTAAGATGTCATTAGTGTTGACTGCAACCCGTTCCCTATGTTGTTTTAGATTAGACACAATAGCAGATCAGGAAGAGAGTTTCACGAATCAGAACAACATTGACATCAAGAAATTGAAAGATGATTTTTACGTGGACATACTGGCTAACACACCAGCCTTAGACGAAAGCTCCATTATAAGTAAGTATAGCCTAAATATTTTTTATATCATTTAATTCCAATTAAAAGAATAACTCATTTTAATTTATTTGACATGATGTCATCGTAATCCAGTCATGGTCTAATCATTTTATTTTATTTATTTATTAAGTTGCTTTATTGCAATTCGGGTAAAATAGTTACTTAAATTGAAACAGTTATATATTGTTAATTATAATCTGTTTTGTGTACTATAAATAAATAAATAATATTAAAAACAAAACATCCTCAATGACTTAACGACGCGGCAAAAATCACCACCAGCCCTTTTACGTCCCCACTGCAGGGGCTCAGGCCTTCCTTATGGATGGTTAAGGAGGATGGGCCATGACCCTCCACGCTGGCCCAATGCGGATTGGAAGGTATTAACGACTGCAAATGCAGCCGGGACCAACGGCTTAACGTGCCTTCCGAAGCACTGAGTAACTCGAGATAATAATTTTTTTGGTCATCCATCCCGTGACCGACCCTTGCGAAAGTTGCTTAACGACTACAATCGCGGGCCGCGGCGCTTATCCACTACGCCACCGAGCTACTTAAAATATAATACCCTATACCTATAATACGGCAAAAATAATACCTATAATTTTTTGTCGAAAAGTAAAATTTACCATAGTTGCTCTTAGAAATACATTAATTGTAAAACTTTTATTTTTAAGGTACCACAGGACCCGATGGAATGGACATTTACGACGAAAACAAGTTAGTTCATTGTTATAGTACAGTTAAAACATAAGGAAACTCTCGTTAATTTACCGATTACTTGCTGGCATTGACTTCGAATTAAATGGAATTTATCTGCTGATATAGGATCTGCGGTGGACAGTTAGCATTTTTGGGCGTAATCAATTGATATTTTAATCATATTAGTAATTGATTGAAAATTTAATTACTATTAATTTGCCTTCTTTCAATCTAAATTTTCTCCTTTCCTTATATCTTTTCTATCTTTCTTTTTTTCATTGCTGTAATTTAGTACGTGTAAAATAAATTTCGTCACCTATCCCAGTATCGGCCTTTGCGACGCGTTATCGCTCATCGATATCGAATTGCATCGCATCGAGCTATGAATAAGAAGCCTAATCCCCATAAAGATCGATTTATTTAACTCAAGCCTTTGGTTCCAGACTTGACTTTGCGAGATCATCAGTTAACTTTATGGAAGTTCTGCCATGTGCCAATTCTCCGTCTTATATTATTTCCTTTACGGTGCTTTGACTAAAATCTAATTGCAGGAATAATTAACAGTTGATTAGTTTCAATCAATCAATTGCAATAAAATTTTGCCCAACACTAACAGTAAGTTGAATCTTGTTTGCGCAGAGCAGAATTCTGACAAAGACATAACGTTAAAATTTATAATGAGCCTTAATCCCGTTCCGGCTTCGCACGGTTATCAGTTTTCATATGGTTTCCTAACGTTTTTTAAAATATTCTATTAATAACGTTCATGAAATATAATGTAGGTTTCTAATAGTAAATAATTTTCGGTGGTCAAATCGGTGTAGTAGTTTTGGAGCTTATTAAATCCAAACAGAGGTTTATTCTATATAATATTAGTAAAGAAGAGATTGTGAGGATTTCAATTACATCTATTTTATTTTATAATCTTGAAATAGTTTTAATTTTTAATATAATAATAGGAAATATATCATGGCATGCATCAAATATAAATTGTCATCATTATTATCATAATTTTTCGACGGATGACAATCTTGCGAGATATATGCACATTGCTGGGTGTTAACGACCGCAACAGGACCAATGTGCTAAAGGTCTTAATATGTATGTAGTAAGTATGGTCGAAACAAGTTCTTGGGATAGGCCTAAAGTTAATCTGACAGATTGAATGCGTTAACCACAACGCTATCGAACACATCAACACATTGTGTAGTGTACCAGTAATACTAGTTTTAATCTTTCTCTTACCAGGGGCAGTAAGAATCCTATGAACGATAAATTGTCGGAGTTAATATCGCAAAGAGAGCAGTTAAGCCGTCAGCCTTCAGCAGATCCAGTTGTGCTGCAGAATCTCAGCGCTGAAATACGCACTATGCTACTTAATTGCAGCACTTAGCGCCTGTTTTGCTATCCGTAAAGATTAAGCCACGGTTCATGTATTGTCATTCAATTTCAATGCATAAATGTAAAATTTTAGGTTCATTTATTACAGTCAATTTGTCATATTCGTACATGTAAAACTCGTTCTGCTCATGAGGTTAAATCTGGCAGTGCCACCTCATTTGCAATTTCAAAAATGTATTCTTGACCCATCAAGTCCTTAGTTTATCAGTCAACAAGTGTGTTTCATGTGTTCTATGGAATATTTTGATAATAATTTTAAAATATTTTTTCAGTTTTAACCTATAATAACGTGTTCCAGGGCACACTGTGCCAAACCTCAACAAGACGTCACAAATTCAAATTTGTGGATAGTGTTTGACTTTTTTGTTTATGTTAGATCTGATCCGATGCGATCTATGTGGGTTTTTATCACAAATCAAAGGAAGTCGAGCACTTGAGATGCGTTCAGCATGTTTATCGAGATATTATAGTTTGCGAGAAATGTGCAGACGTCATGTCTGTATAAAGTATTTGTTGATATACATTAGATTTGCCAGATTTTTTCTGCTTATAAGAGACAAATGCTTAAAAAGGCAGAAAAATACGGGATTTTAATTTCTTATCCAAGACAAATAATAAACTAAATTTTTTTTTTCAAATGAAAACAGATATTTTAGTTGGATTTGACTTATTTAAAAAAATCTGTTGCTGTTTTTGTTGTAAGTTGCGGACTTTTGTTTCATACATTAGTGATCTTTTAAACCATTTGTGAAATGGAATTGATATACAGGACAGAATCGGTCCCAGTGAGATATTTGAATTTAGACCTGAAATAGGGGATGTCTGGTAACACAAGGATACATATTCCATCGATTATAGCCTATTTCTCAATGCTACTTATAAAAATGGTAATAAGGCATAGCAGAACATACTAGTTATATAATACTTTGTCTTCCTAGTTTAAACTAGTTGATATAATGTCATATATTATGAGCGACTTTGACTGAAGTAATTGTGATATTGAACTTAATATCAATATTTATGATGTGGTTAATTTATATTAATGACTATTAAACCATTGTTAATTTCTTTTAATTATTGCGAATAAAATTCATAATATATTAATTTCGTTTTCTTACTATTTCTCCTAGGCATACATCAACATAAAATTTTTATTAAACTGTAAAACATCACAAACTTTGCAGAGCTAGAATGTAATCTTGAAACTTTTTTTTGTAACTTTGGCATCTTAATTAACTGCAGTTGCCTTTGTATATCTACCTAAAGTCAATATTATTAGTGCATCAATGGTGATAATTATAGTGCATTTTATGGAAAAGACAAAATCAAGAAAAATATGACCATTTTATTTAATTTTCTTACCATGGGGGTTCTTTAAAACTGCTTGATTTCCTAAGGGTTTGTTGACCATCAAAGATAAGGAAACACTGATTTAAGTACTGACTAGCTTTCCGCCAGCTGTTTCACCAGTGTGATCTTGTATTATACATAAAAACCTTCCTTTTGAATCACCCTATCTATGAAAAAAAAAGGCATCAAAAGCCGTTGCATAGTTTTAAAGATATAAGCATACATAGGGACAGAAAGCAACTTTGTTTTATACTATGTAGTGATATACTACTTTAAGTGAAAAATATATCTTGCCATATAAAATATGAATTTATGAAAATATATTACACTTTACTAAACTTTGCTATTAACCTAGATAATTATATCTTATTAATCAAGTGAGAAGAAATATTTACAAACCCATATATGTTATTTACATCAAATAAAACTAATGTTTCTAGTCATTAGATATGGTAACTAATACATGTTTAACCATATACGCAAGAATAACAAATGCAACAAGCACAGACAAATTAGTCATAATATAATAAACATTAGATTGCTGCTCCGTTGTCACTTCACTGCTAACATTATTGGTATCTGAATGTAACATAGCTGCTTCTTGACGCTGTTTCAATAGATGCTCAATCTCCTCCACATATTCAGGGAACAATTCACAGAACATTTTATTCTTTAAATTCACTTCCAATGATTCTATAGCTAAACAACGTTTCTGATAATCTGAAGTTTCAATGGACCCTGTTGTAGATGTTTTTTCAAGCATGAAACTTAATAAACCAGTGAGTATAGTGGATATAGACCATGTTGGGTTCCAAGTATCTGGATGAAAATCGGTAATACTAAGGCACAATCTTGTGTTGGTTCTAAACCTCCCGTTTGGTGTAATCATATAAATAGAGGGTGGTTTAAATGGGAATTCCCTAGGAAATACCATTTTGCCATGGTAATATCCGCCCTCGTAAGGACTTTTCTCTGGGCCTTTGACGACGTAATGCCATTCTAGTATATTAGAAGGTACAGGTTCTGCAGTAACATATGGAACAGGGTCATTCTTAAGTCTGAGATAGTCTTGCTTCAGTCGGCTGGTTGCTCCTGTCATTCTCATTTTGGCCATTGCTGAGATCACACAATAGCCAACACATACAATATAATAATTAAACAATAAAACATGAAGTGCAATTAATTGACACAAAAGTAATATTTAAGTATCACAGCCAGGTAAGTAGTAGTTAGTAGTAGTAGTCTGTTCGTTTATTTACTTCCATTCCGTAACTTGTTGGCTGTTTCTGTTTGTCTATCTGTCATCTGTCACTTTTTTGTCCAATGAGGAAGTATTTAAAAAATAATAATAAGTTCTTGAAATCTTGAAAATCATACTAGATGTCACTCGCGACGTTTGGATTTTGTTTATGATATTCATTCAAATTTTGTTTCTGACGTAATATAAGTTAATTAAGTATCGAAAATTAATAAATATTACATCATTTTGTGTCACTTATAATATCTAACTTTCAAATTAATTTTAATTTACTTTAATCGTAAGTTTAAGTTGTTTATTATGTTACGTGTAAAGGAACGATGTTTGGTTTATAGGTCAATATTAGTGATGGCCAAGATATTGGTTGCTCGTGTGGTTGCTCGTAATTTTCATCCGAATTCAGGTTTGGAATGACGAACAAAAAGCGGAACGCAGAATTCAGCTTGTATTTGTATGTGTCATTATGCATCCACGAAACGAATGATATTTGTAGGGACACATATGCCTACATGTACATGTACAGTTTAGTTGTAAGATGTTTATAAACAATTTGTTAGCGTCTGTAGAACAAAGACTTTTTAACTAGTCGCTAATATACGGAGTTACAGAGTGAACGTGTTTTCTTATTTAACCTTCTGATAACATAAATAGGGTCCGACACTTAATACCCTAAAGTGGTGACCGGTGTTATGAACATTACGTTTTTAGTTGTTTTGAACATTTTATTTAATTAACATTTATATCACTTTTATTTTTTTTTATTAAAAAGTGCAGTATAAACAATGAATCCACAAAATGAAAGTTCTCAAGCGCGTGTTTCGGAACACAACCCCGAAGTTAAGCCAGAGACTTCATCATCTTTGGACTCCATCACCATTTCATCGAGAGTTCCTGATTTTTGGTCAGACCAACCGCGACTCTGGTTTGTCCAATTTGAGGCTGTCATCCAGTCACAGAAACTATCGGACGCCGCTAAACAAAATTTAGTGGTTACTAAATTAAGTAAGGCTGCGATTACACAGGTGAGCGATTTATTATTATCACCACCAAGTGAGCACAAGTACCAGACCCTCAAAGATAGACTACTGCATGTATTTGAGGAGTCGGAGACGAGGCAGTTCCAGAAGCTTCTTGGTGAAATGGAGCTTGGCAGTCAAAAGCCTTCGCAGCTCTTACGGCGCATGAAAGATCTAGCCCGTGGGAAAATACCAGACGCGACATTACAAATCATGTGGAATAGCCACTTGCCACCACCAGTGCAAGCTGTGTTGGCCGTTACACAGGAGACAGATATAACAAATCTGGCTGTAGTGGCTGATAAGGTCATGGAGGCCACTGGGCATTCCAATATAGCTGAAGTATCAACCAGCAGCAACTCCTCAGAGCGTGAGTCAAAAATTACATGTTCGGAGCAATCCGACCTGGCGGCGTTGGTAGCACGTCTCAGCATAGAAGTGGCGGAGTTAAGGCGCTCTTCGGCAAGCGGATCGTGGTAGACCGTTCAGGGGTAGGAACTACAGTGCTGGAAACAGATTCAGTCGGGCACCGTCACAAGGTCGAGAGAGAGAGAATTCCAGTAACCGACGAAATCCTAATTGGCTTTGTTTCTACCATTATCGGTACGGAGATAAGGCCGTAAAGTGCATTGAGCCCTGTAATTGGCGGAAGCCCAAGCCACAAGAGCCAGCGGAAAACTAAGTGCGATACGACCGGAGGCGGAGGTTGGTATCGGGTTATCGAATAACCGCCTATGTGTTAAAGACAAAAAAAGTGGACTGAAATTCTTAATTGACACAGGTGCGAACGTTTCGGTTATTCCGGCATCGAAAAAGTGCGTTTCCGATTACAGTGCGAGTGATAAATACAAACTATATGCAGCTAACGGAACCGAGATAAAAACTTATGGTATGCGTACTTTAATTTTAGATTTTAATTTAAGGAGAGCATTTAAATGGAATTTTATCGTAGCGAATGTTAAACAGCCGATAATAGGAGCGGATTTTTTAAGCCATTATCAGCTGTTAGTCGACATGAGCGCGCGCAAGTTAGTAGATCAAATTACACATTTAAATGTTCTCGCCTCTGTTGTAAGTCATAACGAATGTGAATTATCTATTAAAACTGTTTTAGGTAATAGTAATTGGCATGATTTATTGCTTTGTTACCCGGACATAACGAAATTAGTATCTTACAAAGAGACACCTAAACACTCTGTGTGTCATTATATCGCACACCTAGATCTAAACTAAGACAACTCAAAAAACTAATTTGGTGGTCTGACAATACATTTGTTTACGTGGCAAGAGCGCGACCACTGTTGATTCAACAAAAAAAGAGCTAAAGTTATCTAGCGGCTCATCCCCGAACCTTTATTGAATCTGTTATGTTGGATATATGCGTATGATCACCAAGTATTTGAATATTGCACTAAGTCAAAACTCGCTCAAATTTTTGAGTTGTCTCAGTTTAGATCTAGGTGTGCGATATAGAAACTACGGGCCCACCGGTATACGCTAAAGCCAGACCTCTTCCGCCTGACCGTTATAGGAAAGTTAAGGAGGAGTTTAGCCACATGTTGGAATTAGGCATTTGTAGGCCATCTAAAAGCGAATGGGCCAGTCCATTACATGTGGTACCAAAGAAAAATGGTGATATTCGGCCTTGCGGTGATTACAGAAAATTAAATGCCATAACAAAACCGGATCGCTATCCGATTCCGAGACTGCATGATTTTAAATATTTATTAGCGGGAAATAAAACTATTTTTACGCGGTTAGATTTAATTCGTTCTTATCATTTCGTACCGGTTGCCCCGGAGGATATTGAAAAAACTGCCATTATAACGCCCTTTGGACTGTTTGAATTTCCGCGCATGATCTTCGGATTACGTAACGCAGCTCAAACATTCCAGCGTTTCATGGATACCGTAGTACTACAAGGGTTAGACTTTTTATTCAGTTATATCGATGATCTTATTATCGCGAGCGAAAATGAAAGTCAACACAAAGAGCATTTAAAGGCAGTTTTCGAAAGATTTGATAAATATGGAATAACTATTAATCTATCTAAATGTGTTTTTGGTCAGTCAACACTTGAGTTTTTAGGATTTGAAGTGTCTACGGAGGGTGCGCGACCACTTCAAGATAAAGTACAGGCTATTGTAAATTTCCCGAAACCCGAGACAGTCGATCAACTACGCCGTTTTCTCGGTATGTTAAATTTTTATCGTGCACACATTCCAAACGCTGTTCAATATCAATTCGAATTGAATAAATATTTGCACAATACAAAAAAACGCGATAAAACTTTGATTGTGTGGACTGATAAGGCTGACGAAGCATTTAAGAAGTGTAAGGAAAGCTTGCAAAGCGCCGCTACACTGTCTTATCCTTTACCAGATGCTAATTTAGCGCTGATGACCGATGCCTCGGATACTAGTGTAGGTGCTGTATTACAACAGAAAAATAACAACAATTGGCAACCATTAGGGTATTTTTCAAAAAAACTTTCACAAGCTGAAACGAAATATTCTACTTATGATAGGGAATTGTTAGCAGTATTTATGGCTATCAAATATTTTAAAAATTTAGTGGAAGGCCGTGTACTGACTATTTATACTGACCATAAGCCTCTCGTTTTTGCATTTTCAAAATTAAATAACGACAAAGAAAGCCCTAGAAGAATTCGTCAATTATCTTACATTAGCGAGTTTACCACCGATATTCGTCATATCAGCGGTGAGCAAAATGTAGTCGCAGATACACTTTCGCGGATAGAAACGATCAGTTGTCCTACATTACTCGATTTTAGAGAAATAGCTGAGCAACAACTTAGTGACGAATACCTACAGCAAGCGTTGCAAGCAACAGATAGTAAATTACAATTTAAACAAATATTATTGCCAGACTGCGAAAAATATATTTATTGCGAAATTTCATCTAACAGAATTAGACCATATTTACCAGATAAATTCAGGAAAATTGCTTTTCATTCGGTTCACGATTTAAGTCACCCCGGTGTTAAGACTACCAGAACTTTAATTAAACAACGTTTCTTTTGGCCTAATATGCTTAAGGATATAGCGAGTTGGACTAGAACCTGTTTTAGTTGCCAGAGATCAAAAATTAATAGGCATACGATAGCAGGATTAGGAGAGTTTGAGCGTGCAGACCGTTTCCAACATGTTCATATAGATATTGTAGGCCCGTTGCCTACATCGGCAGATGGACATAGATACTGCGTAACAATGATAGATCGTTGTACCGGATGGCCGGAAGCTTTTCCAGTTCACAATATTACAGCTGAAACAGTAGCCAAGGTAGTATTTGAAGGCTGGATATCTCGATTTGGAAGCCCTTCGAAGCTTACTAGCGACCAGGGTAGACAATTTGAGAGTGATCTTTTCAGTCAGCTAATGAAGTACCTAGGTATTTTTAAAATGCGAACAACACCTTATCATCCGCAGAGTAACGGCATGGTTGAGCGATGGCATCGAGCACTAAAAGTGTCACTTACGGCACGTTTAAACTGCAATAGTAACTGGGTGACCGAGCTTCCAGTCGTGTTGTTAGGCTTACGAGCCGCAACCCGCAGTGACAGTGGCGTTAGTGCAGCAGAGTTAACTTATGGTAAAACAATTCGTTTGCCAGGTGATTTTTATGAAGATTCCAAATTAAATTGCTCGGATTCGGAATATTTACAAAATCTTCGCGATTCCATTAAAAGTTTGAGACCTAAACCGTCAAGTCATGGTAATTCACGTTCGTTATTTCTGCCTAGCGAATTAAATAGTTGTAAGAGTGTATTCATAAGAAATGACGTATTTCGTAAATCTTTGCAACCTCCTTATGATGGCCCTTACGACGTTGTAAGTCGGAAAGGCAAAACTTTCGATATTAAAATAGGAGATAAGACGAAAACTATTTCAATAGAAAGATTAAAACCAGCATTTTTTATAAATAGTGATAAAGATTTTAGTTATAGTTCGAATTTTAATAAGAGTAACGATTCTAGTTTAGATAACGAGGTCACTTCCAGTAA